TATATATATATATATATATATATATATATATATATATATATATATATATATATATATATATATATATATATATATAAATGGATGTATTTTTTTCACCACAATCTTGCAAAGTTGTTACTATCCAAAAATAATACAGGATGCATTGATAGTGTTCTTTAAATTAATTAGATTCACTGTATCCGCTCCACATCACTTCCCTCAGTGTTATTAATAATTCATTATTTCATCAACCATTACCGATATTTATGATACTTGGAATCATTTTAATGGCATTAATTATAGAAATAGAGATAATAATTTTGATAAAACATTGTCCAAGTTATTTTGTAAAAAAAAAAAAATAAATAAATAACACAAGTTATTTTGAGGGAGAGAGAAAATAACAGAGAACGCATACATTCTGAATTGTAAGCGAAAATATTAAGGAAAAAGCCCATGTACTCGGAACTATGCAAAATTACACAGTGAATCCTACAAGGTACCCCAACATACTAGTGTGTAAATACAATTTTCTCGGGACATTTGTTGTATTTACAGGAATTGAAGCTAAAATTAATTTAGCAAAAGTCACAGGGTATAATGCTATAAAATTATGATTTACATTTTTTTCAACAAATAAAGACAATATCCTTTATACATTTTATACGTATGAGTCAGAAACCAACTACTTTTAACAGGAAAACCACTTCTTTTATAGTTAAAAAAAATAGTCTAGACTTTTAGAAAAATACCTTTAATCTAATGAAATATTGAGATAACGAACTGTATTCAAGCTCAAAGTTCATCAAAACATTACAAATCGGGAGCAGAGCAAACAAGGACCTCCAAAACCTCAGAGGTGGGATCAGGTGCCATGGAGGAGTGAGCATCCCCTGCCGACCGGTCAAACCCGCCGTGTGCTCCTTGTCATGATCGGGAAGTAACGGAAAAAGCCGATACAATTAGTATAAAAATGTCAGTCGGCATAGGACTAAATAATAGATTGTATTTGCTGACAAGGTCATTGTATCGACCATAGAACGTACGAAATGATGACTTTAAACGAGACTGTTGATATTCTTGTTTCATCAACTTATTTTTCAATAACTTACATCGTTTTAGAAATTGTTCATATGCTCTTGTGTATTGAGTCAACTGAAATATATACACCCCATATGCAGGTGGTAAGGGTTTGTTGCTGCATAAGTAAAGGAAGTTGAAGTTTGGGATTCCAGAAGATTTCCCAGACTCTCAAAGGGAGCAAGTAAGGTGAAAATGACTTTGAACTCTTTCAGGAATAATGGCCCCCTCGAACTCTTTCAGGAATAACGGTCCCCTCTTAAGATCTAAAATTAGTTACATGTGTGTACACAACCCCTCCTTACAAAATACGTGTAGGTTTTCCGTCTTTGATTGATAAGATCGACATGCATTTCTTATTGAATTTCTTGTCTTTTTTTGTATGTAATTGTAATTATTGTTTCTAAAAATTATCGCTCAAATATTTGGTGTATTGCTATAATTATGTAATTTGATTATACGTATCAGTCAGAAACTAACTACTTTTAACACAAAAACCACTTCTATAGTAAAAAAATATTCTTAAAACATATCTACACAAGTAGATTGATAGCTTTAAATAAAGTATATGTGTATAATGATAGCTGAAAATAATTATGATGTGTAATTTTAGTTAGGATCTTATTTACAGAAAGACATATGGGAGGAAAAAATAATTTCGTACAATATGATAGCATGGAAGCATAAGGAACTTCATTTACATATGCGAACGTGACAAGCCAGCCAAAATCGGAGGAATGTATATAAAAAACAACGTTGAAGCTAGAGTTTAAATTGACGATAAACAAGGTCAAATCTGTTAAAGTATTGATAAGATGACGATTCTTTGTTGGTGAGGGGATACTTTGAGTGAATAATGCACAGGTGCTCTTAAAAGAATCCATACATGTAATAAGACTCTGCTCAATACCTTTGTTTGTTACTCTATAAGCAACCACTTAAAGTTAAGAACACTGCACAAATGGACAGGTAGTGTCCAGTTAACGGTATAATAACATTGACAGAAATTCAGGAAGTGAAAATAGTCATAAACTAAGGATAGGTAAAGACACTCCACTGCTTATTTTTACCAAACCAGAGAGTTGAAATGAAGGAAAGCAGGTTCAGCCATGGATTTATTTATTTAGTCATTATTTTTGTTCATGCAGTTTGTAAACCGGGTAAGTGTACCTTCATGCAAAAAGAATTTAAAAAAACTTTAGTGTAAGGTGATGCAAAATTCGCGTCGTTAATTTTGTAAGTAATTTGTAATTATTCTACTGAATTTTTCTGAATGATGGAGTGTTTCAAGTCTTATTATAATGGTAGTGTTATGAAAACCTTAATTTATAGACATTAAAAACATGGGCCTATCTAAAGGGGTGCGGTGGGGCTCCGGACCTCCCCGGAGTTTTCAGTGTGATTAAATTTTTATGAAAAAGTAAAAAAAAAATGACCTTGGAAACCCCACCCCACCCCCTAGGAAACACAAAGCCCTTTAAAAATAGTAAGGAGAGTCATGTACAAGAAGAAAATTAGGAAAGAAGGCGTATCCTACACCGCCGTGCCCCCCTCCCCTTCACACACACGAAATAGGATTTTCAGGTTTTAGCAAGAAGTGGTTTTTTTGCTCGTCAAAAAATGTCCGAGTCTAACATTTGTTACAATATGGAAGAGAGATATTGATTGATTATATGTTATTTTACGTCCCGTTCGAGAATTTTTTCACTCATGTAGAGTCTTCACCACCAGTGAAAGGTGAAGAGCTTTCAAATTGAGACCTTACTCGGCATTTGGGCATTTAGGGATGGCCTTCCGTGACACGGGACCTCAGTTTTTCAGGAAAGACCTGCAACATTCACTTCAAAATGCCGAGCGATTAGCGAAGAAACAGTTGCCACCTTTATATTAACTGAGGTCAGTCGCGGCCGGGGTTTGAACCGTGACATTCCTACTGACGGAGAAATAAGGGGGAGAGTAAAATAAACATAAGGAAACACTCTAGAAGATAGACAAGGTTTTTTTCCCTATATTGACGAAATAGTTGTACATTAAACACAAGGAATTCAACACCATTACACTAAACGCCAAAAAGTATTTAGATTTATTCCAAAATTAATTTTGAAAATTAAGAAATTATGCGAGATGACAGATGATGATAGGGTGGACGTGCTCTAAGAGTGGAAAAAGAGCAGGATATAATTATATTGTATTAGGAAAGAAAACCATGTAGAGGGGAAAGGATATGAACAAAAACAACATGAAAAAGAAATAAAGGAAAAATAATAAGAAATTGTGTGAAATGATTATGTACCAGCAAGAACGAAAAGGAAAAACGAGAAAATGATATATAATATACAAATATATCACACGGAACATTCAATCAATGATTGATTTATGATTATTTTATTACAATAATTATAAAAACTTTTGTATTTTTTAAAAATTCTCAATCAACTAAAAAAGAAAATTAAGATGCATGAGACTAAATCATTTTATCAGTATAAGCTAACAAAGCTTCAAAATAATCTACCATCTCCGACCCCTAATATTGTGTTATTGTATGTAAGATACAAAGATTCCTAATTTGTGATAGGAAAGTGATATTTTTCTTTAATCATTAGAATTGAAAAAAAATTATATAAAACTGAATGTAAGAATTTATTTCAATAAATGTAGAATGTATTTTTTTCACAACAATCTTGCAAAGATGTTACTATTCTAAAATAGTACAGGATGCATTGATAAAAATCTTTTAAATTTATGGTTCCTTTTTTTCTATTTACTGTGTCCGCTCAACACTCCCTCCCCCAATGGTATTAATAGTTCATTATTTCATCAACCATTGACACAGTCAATGAATCTTGGTTTCATTTTAAGGGCATTTTTCATAGAAAGACACTTTGAATGTTATTTCATTAAAAAAATTGCCCAAAGTTATTTTGTAAATAAAAACATTACTTTCCAAACGCAAGTTATTTTGAAATTAATAATCTAAAAAAAAAAAAAAAAAAAAAAAAAAAAAACTACACAGATATATAATTTTCTTAGTATTTACATGAACTGAATCCAAATTTATCGGAAATTTGCAAAAAGTCACATGGTTCAAATGTCCAAATTATGATTTATATTTTCTCCAACAAATAAACACTTTCAATTCCAATTTCATACGTATGAATCAGAAACTAACTACTTTTAACACAAAAGTCAATTCTATAATAATAAAAAAATATTGTAGACTTCTTCATTTATATATATTTCTCAGTTAAGCAAAACTTAAGCAAAAATATAAAGATAAATTAGCAAAGACAAATTATATAAAGTTCGGGATTCTAGAAGAATTCTCAGATTGTTTAAGTGGGGAAGTAAAGTGAACATACTTTAAACTCTTTCAGGAATAATGAACCCCTCTTCAGATCTAAAACAAGATATGAACACCAAATAGGTCTTCCTTCTTGAATTTTAAAAAATGTCAAAAGAAATCAGACAAATTAAGATTAATTATAAGCTGACAAAGTGCTCATGAAATCTAAAAATACAAAAAAATGGCAGGTCAGGAACCCAACATGAAGTGTATTTTTAGAAAAGTATTGAACCTGGAGAACTCACAGTTACTTTTATTTTCATTAATGAAGTTCATGATTTTATTTGTGTATTTATTTTTTCGCACAAATATTTGTAATGATTACTTCTAAAAAAAAATGTCGCCCAAATATTTAGTGTATTGTTATTATTATATAATTTGAAAATATTTACTTCAAGTAGATTGATATCTGTAAATGAAGTTATAATTAGGGAAAAATCATTTATGATATGATATTCACCGCATGAAAACTATGAGGGACTTCATTTACGCATGCGTACGTGACAAGCCATCCAGGACTATATATATTTAAAAAAAACACGTTGAAACTAGAGTTTAAATTGACAATAAAATAAGATCAAATCTGTTGAAGAATCGATAAGTTGACGATTCTTTGTTGGTGATGGAATACTTTAGGTGGATAATGCACAGGTGCTTGTAAATGAAACTACGAATATAATGAGACTGTTCAATACCTTTGTTTGTTACTCTATGAGTCACCACTTAAAGTTAAAAGCAAACTACACAAATGGACGGGTAGTGTCCAGTTAACCGTATAATAATGTTGATAGAAATTCAGGAAGTGAAAATATCATATACTAAGGATATTTAAAGACACTGCACTGTTAATCTGTACAAAGCCATAGAGCTAAAATGAAGGAAAGCAGGTTCAGCCATGGATTTATTTATTTAGTTATTATTTTTGGTCATACAGTTTGTAAACCGGGTGAGTATACCTTCATGCATTAAGAATTTTAAAAACTATTGTGTTAGGTGATGCAAAATTTGCGTCATTAATTTTGTAGTATTCTACTGAATTTTTCTGAATGATGAAGTCTTTCAAGTCTAATTACCATCATGGTTCTCTTCTGAAAACCTTAAACCTTAAAATGTTCTCGCCTCCGTTCATCATGTCATGTATAAAATGTTTTGAGGATTTTATTGCTTGAGAATAGAAGATAAGATTCAGCCCTACAAATTTCCAGATCAAAGCTTCAGTGTTATTGAATAGATAGTGCAGTTTGTACGAAAACATTATTTTTAGTGATAGACAAATTCTATAATATATACGAAAATGCGACCATCTTTTTAAAACATAATTTTTATCATTTTTATTGTAGCGTTTTTCCCCGATATCCCATACTTATTCTGGACAGTAAAGACAAATATGCTATTTTACCAGAACAATACAGAGCAATGGGTCTTCAACAATACAAACCCATATATATTCAGCTTTTCTTATGGGGATACGAGACATAAACATCTAGGATGTTCCTATGATTTTGAAAGAGGATTTCTCATCTTCAGTGACAATAGTGCCAATACAATTACACTATTTGGAGAGAGAAGTAATGGTGCAGCTCAAGGGACTTTTGTCCACGTCGGCACTTCCTCTGGTGTTGGTCATGTAGCCGTGGACTGGGTCAGCTCCAATGTCTACTGGTCAGATAGCTTATTTGGCTGGATAGGACTTCAAGCTCTTCCTAGAAACATAGAAACAATATCATTTAATAGTAAATTCAGGGTTGTGGTGGACAAGTTCTTGGACGTTCCTTCTGGTCTTGCTGTGCATGCTAGTAGAAGGTAACGTGTTAAAAAAAAATGAAAATTATGTACCTTGGTAAAGAATAAAAGAGAATAAGCCAATCTTCAGTGTATATAAAAGGATCTTGATATATATAGAAAAAGGTTCACATTATATGTCAGCTATTAATTGGTTACATGATGTCTTGATGCTTTAGCTTACTTATTTAACGGTTCATTGCCAGAGATGTTAATAATTGGAAATAGACAAAGATAAAAAGAACACATCAGTTTTGTTTTTAATTATTTACTCTAATATAAATTGTATTTTTTCTTCTGTAACAGATTACTATTCTGGACAGACATTGGGACACAACCAAAAATAGAACGATCCTCAACTGATGGTTCAAACAGGAAAATCCTCATTTGGTCTGGCATCATCAAACCTGTGTCTGTAACTGTGGATATACACAACAACCTGCTATACTTCACCGACTCAGCACGGGAAACTGTAGAGTCTTGTGATCTAGAAGGAAACTCGAGACGCATTCTTTTTTACGAGACCAATTCTGACTTCTATGGCGTAGAAATTTTTAAGGTCAGAACTATTTTTCATACCTATATCTTTTGAAATTTTGTTAAAGAAATTTAAAAAAAAAAACTTAAACAATTTCAAGTTTAAATTACTGGGACAAACTTTCAAGCAATATAGCAATTAAAATGTTTTATTTGCATTCCATGCACTGCGGTAAATCTTATTCTTATCCACTGGATCCAATCGTTTATGATCACAATGAATTCAGTAATAAAATACTGAATGGAAATTTAACTACCTTTATTTGACGTAAGAGGTATTATTCACTATATAAAATATTGTTTTGAAAGGCGCAACATGTAGTGTAATATATTATGTGTGCTCCGAAATATCACAGTTCTTGATATAAAACTGTTAAAGAGATTTACAATCTTATAACATAAAATAGTTTGGCACTGTATTTGTCCTTATCGAAAAGCAATAAATGATAAGATTATATCTTTTTTATATAATATTAGATAGGAAAAAAGTACTACACATGCGTTTATTTATCATTATCACAGATTGATTTAAATTTATTGATATAGCCAAAATGTGGTGAAACATTCAGCAAAAAGGTTATATTAGTAATTAAGCATTTTACCAGCTTGGGGTACCGGAATACTGTTTTTGGCCACAAAATATTGATAACTTTCAAGTTTTGCTCTTCTTTGCAGAGTTTAGTTTTCGTCTCAGACCAGTCTACAAATCGCATTTTGGTCCTTTCTAACACGACTGGACACAAAGTAGCACGTCCGGTGACAATGGAGTCCACTCCATATTCATTAGGTTTGTTTTCTGAAGCCAATCAGCCACAGAGTTCAACAGGTAATTATAGATACTTTAAAGTATTTCACACATGCATATGTCAGTTTAAAGTTTTTAAAGGAAAGGATAAGCATTTATGTATTAAAAATGACTTAATCTCTCTCCCTTCAAGTTAAATTGAATTAATTTAAATCAAAAGATGTCTTTTCATTGTATTTTTTTTAAATGAAGTTCACAAAAAAGACTAATAATTTCGTGGAAAATATTTTTCATAGATCATATAAATCATACACACGTTGCTCAACGAGAAATGATAAATATGATGACATGCTAATAAAATTTGACCATATTATTTTAAAATCCTTCAATGGATATTTTAATCATTTCCCAGAGATAGGAAGTAAGGAAAACAATGTAAAACGAAAAGACTTAAGGAATATGAAACTTAGAATTTAATTATGAGGTAAAATGCCAATTAGGAAGACATAGACGATATGTTTTTCCTATTTCCAGCATGTGACACTTTCGGCTGTAACCAGATCTGTATCACGGAATTGTCTGGGGCTAAATGTCTTTGTGAGGATGGGTTCTCTTTATCAGCGGACAATAAAACGTGTACAGGTAGAATATCAGTTTCAGTGTGTTTATATTTGATACTAAATTTTATACATAATATCATTTTGCCTTTCTATCCAACCAGCTATGTGAAGCTAACTTGAGTCTCTTGTATTTTTGTCTATTGAAAGTATTTTAACAAACACCAGTTTCTTTTTTTTATTCCAAGGCTTGCTTTTTAAGAACAGCTGATAGGTTTTACTCTCCACTTTTCTTCTTTTATTGGAAGATAAAAACGTGTAAAAAAAGGTTTTATTTAAAGAGTAAATATCACAATTTAAAAGTCCGATGCATGTTATAGTGTTACAGCCCCTAAATGAAGAATAATTAGCACTCAAATATATTTTGCTCTTCTCAGTTAATGTTATGATTATTAAAATACTTAAAACCTCATTTAACAACATTACCTTTTTCTTTTGACAGAAACCGACAAACTATTGAAGAGGAGTATTTTGGTGGCAGCCGGACCTAAAATTTGTCATATCACGATCACCACCATCAATTCTTTTAAATTTCTCAATTCGCCAGTAAATTGTGATATCATAGCCTCCACACCTGCTGATGTTTCATACTTTGCTGTTTCAATACAAGCCAATGAAATATTTCTTGCAAAAGAGAATACCATTTACAGACAAGAACTATTTGAAACTTTTTCCTCAAATTTTTCAACTCAAAACCGAATCTTAGGTAATTTGAAATCATTATTATCCATAATGCCTGTTGTAGACTCCTTATTGAACGAGAGTACTTATTAATATACCGGTATACTTTAGACACCTAAAAGATATATAAATCAATTTTAATTCGCTAGTGGTGCTTCTCGTGAAATTACACGAAAATAAAACCCTAGCTGAATTTTGGACTCTATTTTATAATATTAAATAAGTAATGATTCTTTATCACAAATTATCATTTCCAGGCTTAGATTACGACTGGGTTACTAATACGTTATACTGGAGTGAGGATAAAGTCAGCAAGATTTATGCATGGAATGTATCAAGTGAAAGAATCAGTAACACGATAGAGATATCAACACCAAATATGGGAATTCCTAAAGCATTAAAAGTTGATCCGTTTAAAAGGTATATATTTGTTATTTAAGAGTCTTTTTTAGCTTATTACTTATTTAAACTATATCTACATAATTATAGAAAACGAATTAAGAGAAGAAAAAATGAAATTAAAATGTAAATTTCAGGAGGATATTTTATATTGATGTGTCATCACAAAAGTCAATCAAGGTTCTAAATTTAGAAGATAGAAGCATTCAAGTATTAGAAAGCATTGGTGTCGTATCTCCGGATCATTTGATTTACAATCGCCGAAAGGACATGTAAGTGGAATAAAATGGCACAGCAATACAATGATATAACATTGCAAATACATATTTTATTTAAGGAATGAATTTAATAGCTATCCAATTTATACGGTATAAAGTGGGTTGGGGCAGTTTACGCTTTATAAACCGCGAAGTGGTTTATAAAAAATCGTTAACTGTTCCAACCTCTTTATACCGTATAAAGAGGGTAGCTACTAATTTCATTCCTTATAATTTAATTTTCATTCATTTAGTGTAAGAAAAAAGATAATTGCCCTTAAAAAATAATTTCATCTTCTACAAAATTTAAATGCAACGTCAGGCGGATCGATACGTTTTTGACGCTAGTCATTGTGACGTAGGCAACCCGATATAAAGTAAATATTTTATCCAATCAAATACCGTGTTATAACTAGAATTAAATTATTACGTTTTCAATAGTGAAATACTGTGATTTATTTATTAAATAAAAGTGATATTCTTTCACCGTGTAAAAGGATACTTAAAGTCACATAATGAGTCAAAATCATGTGTTTCTTTTAAGGTAATTGTATCATAAAACAAAAGATTTATGTGAAATATGACAAAAGCGAAGTTTTGACAACTGAACTGCACTGTAAAGCAAGATAAGAACTTCAAAATGTAAGTGCCGGAAAAACAAAGGTTGTATCTACCACTTTGTTTTTATCGTCAATGTCAACGATGTCAAGGCCACGCGACTTTTATTTTTAGGGTGAAACTTGTAAACAACATTGAATTGGAGCAAACAAAAGTAATTAATAAGTTCTGATCATCTTTATTGGAGATTGTATGAAAATCCTCGGTCATCCGACATTTATTTCTATGGAATTCACACCAGGGTAAATTCTTCAACTTTTCTGCGCATGCGTACAATAAAGAGGAAGAAGTGAAGCAATATTTTTGTGTTGGGGCAAACTAATATTATTTTTACTTTTATTTTTCTCCAAAAAAGTAGATTTTTTAGGTTCTGAAACCTGTAATTTTCTTAAACCTAATATCTTCAAGAATTGAACAAAATTTGCATGTGTCATCCATAAATTTTACTTTTGTCAGTTTCCCCTTTTTCCGTCACAGTGTCACTTTAAATGATAATCTGTCACAGTGTGAAAGAACATCAAAGTAGGTAAAAATGATTTCTGGCCTGTCATAAGAAAGAGATGGGTAACTAAACCATCTTGATAGAGACTAAAACTGTAAAATTCCTCACAAATTATGTTGCTAAGCTATGACGTCTCAATCGCTCAACTGAACATTTTCGGAATCTCAGACACCTGACATCGCACTACGGACAGCGGACTGCAAACAAACCGTATAGAAATACGTTTTAACGTTTACCTGAGAATTTTCTTTCATTATCTCTGACATATATTAAAACGAATAAATTTAAAACAATTAAATAGGTTAGAAATGTATAGATTGGTAGAGATTAAAAATATTTCAATCTTGGCACATTTTAGAAACAATTAAATTACTACATTAATCGATCATGATAATTAAATATGTGTTTCTTTACATCATATGCAATGGCAGATTCAGAGGGGTTAGGGGGAATGCAACCCCTCCCTTTGATTTTGGAAGAAATAAAAAAAGGAGGATTGTAAAAAATGTTGGAAGAGGTGAAAAAAGAGAGTTTTGACTGTATACATATGTTATTGGAATTTTAACATGTTACAGACAATAATATAACTTTATGTTAATATTTGATATATCTTCTTCGGCATAATGAAGTTATTGAAGTAGTTCAAAATTTTCGATTTCTCTCGACTGCACCGAAATAGGAAATTAACTACCGGTAATTCTTTTTTTTTTTATTTCAACACTCTATACACATCAGCTCGGTTAAGAAGAAGGATATAATGATTAATAATTCAAGAAGAAGGATATAATGATTAATAATTTAAATATATTCAATGATCGATTTTTGAATATTTATTTTATAATAGATATATTTGAAAACGTTTCCCGCCAAAGATGTTACAAATGTGACAAAGAAAATTAAAAAAAAATTGTGATACAACACAGCAATAAAGAAGAATAAAACTGTTAATTATTAAAAATAATTAAATCACACTGTAAATAATATATCAATTATTATTATATTTTTAAGAAAAGATATTTTTTGTACTTGCACTGAAACTCAATTCATCATAAAAATATTACATTCATTATGGTGTTCTTATATGTACATGCTACAAATTAAATAAATTATTTTATTCGGCTTATACATGAAGCTTAAAACAGACTATAGCCTACCTGTAATTTATTTCTTTTGTTCTCAGTCTGCACCCCATTCCCACTTAGCCAACACACATTTACCTATGTTTTACCTGTATTTTTTCAAAATGTTGGCTAAGTGGGAAGACACCGTTAAGATAATATAGAAACTAACTTTAAGGCCATCGACTGGCTAAATATGGCCCTTCTCAAAACTTTTTAATCTCCAGGAAGAAGTTATTTTTTCATGCATTCTAGAAAATAGATTTTGAAAATTCAGCATTCATAGTGACATTTTCTAGGGGAAAAAATTGTCGCCTACCTACCGACTAATTTTTTTTCATCCTGAGTCGGGAGAGGGCAAATAAACATTATTTTAAGATTGGCCATAGCCAATTCTTTCTTTTGTTTTTTTAAACAATAAATCGGATATGAAAAAAAAAATAATTTTGAAAAAAAGTCACAACGAGAAGATAAAATTTGCAAATTTTGATTTGAAAAATCCAAAAGTACATTGCTAACCTGACTTTCTTGAATGATTTTAAGAATTCAAAATTTAATGAAAGGAAACAATTAAGAAAGATTCCCATTATAGATAACACATATAGGTGCAAAATTTTGAATGATGTTTAGCATATTAATTACGCCATTTCTTGGTTGAATATGAATTCCTGTATACGTACACTTATATGGAATTCATAGTGTTCATGTAATTACCTAGATAATTCAAATTGTATTTTTATCATGACCATGATGTAAATACAAATTCTTTATTAAAATACATCGATGCAATAAAATTTATAGGTTTGTATTAAAAATTCCGTCTTTCAAAATACCAGAATCAACAAGCTTCCTGGACCCCCAGCAAGGCTTCAAATTTTCCCTGTACCCAGTGGAAACCTCAAGGTGGCCTCCGATCCCAGATATCCTGACTATGCTATGCATCACACTTTGCCTGGATGTTCAAACGAGAATGTAATTGTTCAGTTTTTATTTTTTAGGGGAAATATGACTATGAATTTTTAAAGATTTTGAAGTTTTAAAATCGGTAGTTATATTTCAAAGCCCAGTGCTCTTCGTTTCTTTGCTCCCCCCTTAAAATATCTGGGTCCGCACCTGATTTTTGGGGTACGAAATAAGTTGCATGTGATATGTTATTCACGTTCAAAACAATGATAATATGTTATTGTTTGTTTAAAGTTATCATTTATTTCCCGAGAAGGTACTTTTTCTTTTAAATTAAATGGTAAAAGTCCACAAACAATTTCTTAAACAAAATTTATCATATAATTTTTAGAGTGACGCCATAACTTACTTTGACAGATTGTTTTTTATTAAAAGATTACGCGCTCATTAAGGTACATGTATCTATATAAAGATGCAAGTCCTTTATATTTTATTAGTTCTTGAAGATCCCTGTTTTCTATTTGTTGTTGGGAAAAGGGTACCACTGGAATTAAAAAATTTAACAATCTCTCGGGAAAGGGAGCAAATCATTATTTTAGGAAAAGTTTGGGGAGGACCCCCCCCCCCCCCCCCCTCAATACCATGTGCATGTGTACACTTGTACAGTATAGAGTAGTGTAAATCATACAAATAAGACTAAATGTGATTATCGAGTACAATTAATCAAGACTACAAATATATTAATATTATTCACTTTTTGACACGTTCCCTTACGTGAAAAGTCCGCTATCCGAAGTCAGCTGTCGGGTGTCTGAGATTCCGAAAATGTTCACTATGACGTCGCAGCCTATAACATTGTGTTAAGAAAAAAAACAGGCAAAGAGAAATCAAAAATTGATTGATTGATTTTATGTTGTAAAACGTCCCATTCGAGAATTTTTCACTCATATATGCCGGTGAAGGGCTTCAAATTTAGACATATACTCGGCACTTAGGGCCATTGAGCAGTGAGGGTTCTTTATCGTGCCAACGCCTGTCGTCACCCGACTCGTGACACAAGAATTTTCGATATTTTCACTCGTGCTTTGCACTCGTGAAAATATCAAAAATCTTGTCCCACAAGTGAAATAAATTTCATATCGAACTGCAAAACATTGAATATCCTCTCTATATATTTTACATTTATAAACAATTTAGTAAATTCACTTTAATATAGCTTGTAAAGGAAAATGTTTATAACGAATGTTTAACACAAAAATCACATAAGAAGAGCAGGAAATGAACCAAAATACATTTATTAATGTATGAATTTTTGTGTGAATACATCAAATTGACGTTCTTTTTATCAAATCAATTGAAATGAAACGTGAAGTTTTAAATTTTATAAGGAAGAACTCGTAATTAATTTAATATGTAAACTTTCTCACGTGAAATTAACTCAAATCTGACTTTCCAGAGATATTTATGAATTAAAGAAGAATTTTTTTTTTGATTTTAAGGGTATTTTGGAGTGACAGTGGAAAACCTTCACTGGGGTCTCTTAATTCAAATGGAAGCAACACAAACTTTAAACAGCTTCCTCAAGGAATAACCTACTCAGGAATCGCAGTGTACAAGGTATTACATGAAAGATAGGCATGATGTAAATAAAACTCAGCAAAATGTTTACATTGATCCTCTACTTTTTTTTTATATTTAACGTGATAAAACACTAATCACCTGTTCAAGAATAACATTTCTGTCAAAGGACAAGAAAATTACGGCAACCTGTTGAAGAATAATTATAGTTAATTCGTTGTCCTTTTTTGCCAGAAAAGTAAATTTCTTGGGAAGTTTTGTATTACCAACTTTTATATTGATGAACGAAATAATTTTTTTCCTTTGAAGAAAGGACATATTTTCAAAACAATAGGCATAAAAATGATGTTGTTTCTCTGGACACTCATGTACTTTTTACACAAGGAAGAATTTTGCATTTTTAACATAAAATCAATAATGATGTTTCACAAATAATATCATATTATGCCAGGTTAAGCACTTGCAAATGTTGGAAATGTGTTTTTTTATAAACCACAATCTAAATAAAAATAATTACTACCTGAGGTTATTTTGTCTTTACAGGATTACCTGCTATGGTTGACCATGAATCAGACAAAGCATTACCTGAACGTTCAAGAAAGCACAATCTTAAGCTCGACCATTGATATCATAATGCCATTAGAATCACTAGGTGTTACTACAATAGGTGATATGCGTGTGTTTGATAAAGCTTTACAGCCATCTGTGAAAGGTAAAAAGGAATGGTTAGCAATAAATGATTACTGAATAAAATCACAATCTACTGATCTAATATCAAGATAACAAATGATATAAATTCATAAATTCATGAGAAACTTACTTTGGTAATTGGTTCTAAAATTTCCATTTCCTTTATTCACCAGAACCTTGTATTGTGGACAACGATGGTTGCCAACACCTATGTATTGTAGAGGGAGACATTAGTCTGTGTGCTTGTCGTGTGGGATATGCTCTTCAGTCTGACGGAAAGTCCTGTTTCTCTGGTAAATTAGGTTATTGAACTCGTTTTGCTGAATTTTTAATGTGTAAAGGTACAATAAACTCAACCAAAGGAAATTTCATGAAATTAATTCCCGTTTTTTTTTCTAATTCTTAAATATTTTTCTCTCCTTTCTCAGCTCCAGTTGAAAATGATTTCTTGTTGACCACTGATATTCAACTGAACACGATCTACCAAATAGATCATAATAATCAGGATATACATACGATAGACATTTTGCCTGGGAATCCTGATATTCAGGACTATGACGGCATTAGAGGAGAAATCGTCTGGTGGGATAAATCGAAAAATACTATACGGAAAAGTTCTTTTGATGGAACCAATGAAAAAGCTGTAAAAGGTACATGTATATTTAATTATGATGGCTCATTAAGCTTCATAAACAGTTATTAACAATATTTTTACTGACTTTTTATGTATTGATTTATTTTTGAAAACCTTCACATTCGTAACTGCTAGGTGGTGTGATGGATGTTCGAGGATTGAATGTTGATGACTCGACTGGGAATATATTTTACACTTCGAGTGAAAATATATTCGTAACTTCCGGTTCTGGAAATGTCTTCCGCAAGCTTTTTAGTGGGGGAAATATAGGATCCTTGCAAGTAGACTCTAAACGAGGGTAAGATTAAATGAAAACATATATATATATATATATATATATATATATATATATATATATATATATATATATATATATATATATATATATATATATATATATATATATATAGGTAAATACATACTTGTGGGACATGATAAAAACATTTTATGGCATTGCAACTATATGTAATTTATACACAAATCTCTTTAATTATACATTAATCGTAAAAATATCGTTTTTTTCCATCATGTTAGAATTATGGTATGGATTGAAGGTCGACCAAACCCCCGAATTGTCAGATCTTATATGGATGGGACAAATGTGGAAACAGTTATATCGAACTCGTCCCATTCAATTAGTACTCCTATGGATTTAGCTATAGATAACATAGGTATGCTTAGATTTGTTATTTCAATGATATCAAATGAAATTATATACCTGTTGATGTCCAATATATATATATTCCCAGAAAAATTGAACAGACGCCATAAAAAGACTTGGTTTTGCTTTAGATGGAAGTGTTGTATGGTGTGACGATACTCTGGATAAAATTGAAATTGTCAACATGGAAACACTTACTCCACGAATAGTCGTAAATAACAGAGGAGAATTCCCTGTGTCTGTGACGGTTCTGGGAGAATTTATCTACTATGTTGCAAGAGATAGGAGGTGGGACATGATTGTAATTAATTGGTTACTGATCAATAGATTATTATTATATCTTCTGATCCCTTTTGAACAGATCTATTACGAAGATTTCCAAAATATCGGGGTCTAATCCGTCTGTTGTTGTTTCGTCTCCTCTGTTCGGGAAACTCCAGTATTTAACAATTTACAAAGGAAGTGACGAAATATGTAAGTTCAGCAGAAAAGTCTATAAAACGGCATTTAATTTAATGGGGAAATTTAATAGGATTTGATTCAAAATGAAGTAAACTATATTTTTGGATCACCCAACCTTTTTTTGTCTTAAAAAGTTTGTAAGTGTGCAATTCAAATATGAATAAATAAATTGCTTTGCGTTGTAGTACATAACCTTTGTTCAAGTCAAAATGGTATGTGTAGCAAGTTTTGTTTGCCAAGAGGAGAAAATAATAGGATATGTGCATGTGAAGATGGAGTCCAGATAGACTCGAATAGCCTGTGCCCAGGTGGTAAGGGAATCTGTAGGAAATCTTTTTAATTCAGCATAATTAAAAAAACATTTTTATTTCACCTAGCATTCATTATGATAATGTAGAGAATTTTCGATTTATTAAATATTTTATAATATAGATGTACAATGCCCTTCTACAATTAACCGAGGAAGAATTCCATCAACATGTAGACGATTTGCTGGGGATCTGTGTGGATTTACCTGTGATGAGGGTTATCAAACAAGTTTGCCAGACAACACTCGGATTCTGTGTGGGTCTACAGGACAGTGGAACCAGACAAACAATTTATGTACAGGTACTATAAAACTGAAAAGAGGACTTAACCAAGTCAAGGTGCCGTATAAACTATAGAAACCACTGGGTCCGTCTGTCTAACTAGGTACCCCTGTGTTTATCAATCCATCAACAATTTTACTTGACATGATAACGAGTACTTTTAACATACAGTATACGTACTTTTTTCCGCGTGGGACTAATTTCCGCTATGTACGCCGTCACAATTTTTTCCACCGAAAAAGTGTACTTAAAATGCACTAAGGACATATAATGACAATCCAAGAAATCCGCGTAATTTTCTGCCCACGGATTAACCAGAAATTGTGATTCCGCGGAATTATATCATATTTGACACAAAGTGCAAGAATTTTCAAGACAACATCTGCAGTTTTCGGGGTGACTTGGTTAAAGGTTAGGGTCAAAATAATAACCAACACTATTAAACATTTATTTGATGAAATATTTTGTTTATTTTAATATACAGATTGGAAATGGCTAGAGGGAGATAACTTTGAATTTTAAGGTCATTTGGTCAGAGGGCAAAGTCAAAGAATGAGAATATTATTAAGAACATTTTAATGCAGTAATTCGGAAATCACAAATTGACTTTTTTCTAGTACACAGATGGAAAATGCATTTAGAAAGACGCTTTATAATTCTAGAATTTCTTGGTAAAAGATCAGGATGAAAATATTTTGTATGTTCTACACAGATAAAAATAGATAAGACGAAGAATCTCATGAAAAGGGTCATGGTCATAAGTGAAGGCTATTGATATTGGTGTTACGTATTTAAGTTATGCAGTTCTTTACGATAAAAAGGTTTTACTACAAATGATGATATTGGGGGAGGAGGAAAACACCAGCAGATTTTAGGGTCATTCATTGGAAGGTCCAGATCAAATGTTTCGTTCTCATTATTCCAAAATGCACAATTCTTGTTCAATGAACAATCCACAGAGACCACTACAGATTCTAGAAGGTCAACATTAAAAGCACATTGCGGGACCGTACATGACTTTGTCATTGTTCTCACTAGCTTCCAAAGTTTCTTGTGGCCTTTTGACACAAATTAAATGTTTTGTCCTCTAAGATATGTTTGATTTAAGGCACTGTCAAATAAATTAAAAGTTTTATACTGTTTCTGAGTTTCTTCTTCGTTAAAACAAGCTTTTAATATATTCAAAATACCTTAAAGGAAACTTCAATTATTTCTGAACATTCATTAAAGTTTGACATTTTTATATTATGTTTTCAGTTAAAAAATGTAAAAGCTCTTTTGAACATGGAATCATAACGCCAGGTTGCAATCTAGAGGCTGGATCAACCTGTGGATACACGTGTCGCAATGGGTATACAAAGTCTGGGTCGGCATCTCTAATATGCAACAAAAATGGTGTATGGAACGAAGATCTCAGACAAGTATGCAAAAGTGCGTTGCTATAATATTTTCATTAAAAATAATTTAACTGTATGGTTGTACATGTCTTGCAAAGGATCGCTTCAAACGAACTTGTGACAGAAACTACTATACAGAGGTGTGTTTTTAAAAATAAACGTGCATTTTATCAGGAACTCAAAAAATGCATAACAGTTCCCGGCGGGAACTGTTATGCATTTTTTGTCTATTTCTTCAGCTGTGGAGGAGAAAAACATTGGGGCAGTGGTGGGAGGAGGGGCCGCCGGGACAGCTGTGGTGGTGATTCTTATTATTATCATCGTAGTTGTAGTGAAAAGGTATGATCTAAAGACATCAATATGTAGCATGATGGATTTTTTGGGACTCCAAAGAACACTTTGAGTCTTGATGACTACCATTTTAGTTTTGCAGTTTAAAGGACATCTTTTATTCTTAGATTCTTATAAAAAACATGTAGATGTTGAATGCACTGATTGTATTAATTTGTGTTGTGTTGCGGATGATGCCCGAAGCTTTAACTCTTGTGTAAAAAGAAACCCATAGCACATTGGTATTTTAACATAACGTTGATATCATGTCCACATGAACTAAAATTCCCAAGATATTAGAGTCAGCTCAAGAGGAGAAATGATGCAAACTTAAAAATCTTCTTGGAATAAAACTATTATTTTTCATATATTAAAGTAGATCTACTTTCCATTTTCCTTATGTAATATGTCATTGATAACATTATCTGCATTTTACTTATCTTATAAATATATAAATGATATGACTATTAATATTTTCAGAAGAAACAACGGGAAAGATTCGGAGAAGCAACAGTTTAATACTGGACAAGCCTATATCACCCCAAGTGAGATAAGTGCCATTGCCTTATCAGGATCTCAGCTCAGTACGTACACTACTCTTTCAGAAGACAGGGAAAGTGTCTACGACGAAATTCCACACGATCATGAGGATCATTCAAAAAACTTTGACCAACCCAAATCAGTGGTGATACCATCAGTAGCATTCTCAAACCAAGAAAACAAAGATTTATCCTTTGTTGACAGGGGATCGTCAATCAGATCAGAAAGGTACTCACGATTCCCGAGACAAAGAGATGAAGACGAACAAGGTTACCTTAGAGCTGATCAATGTGTCGTGAGGTATCACAAACAAGATCCAGAGCCCGATTATGACCATGATGCCTTAACAACCAAACACTGGCCGTGAAATACAGAGAGGCTAGCATAACAATCCATGAGAAAGGCAGAAACGTGCTATTTCAGATATTGCTTTCAGTACCAAATTTGAGAAATTCACGATTCCTTCATCCATGGTTCAGGCCCTATACTGAGTCTTTGTTTGTCATATTTTGAATATACACAATATCCTTGAAAATATTATCTACTTATGGACAATAAACAGACTCATGATTTAAATAAACACAGCCATCTACCAAAATTGTGACGTTCGTATCCTTGGGCGCATGGTTCAGTCTCCTGCGTGGGGCTATGTTGGTCATCTATTGAGAATACAGTGCGCCTTTGGAAATCTTATTCAGTTAAGGACGTCCTGAAGGCAAATATTTGATGAATGCAATTTGAAATCAAACCTTTGCCAAAATTATAACCTTCATAGATCAGGGTCCAGCATTCAAGCATATCAGAGTGAGATTTATTTAGTTATATACATGATATATGGAGAAAAAAACATTTTCGAAAACCTTTAATTTTCATTTTTGGTAAAATATGTTCTGGGCAAACTGCGTGATAAGAATATAACAAGTACTCAACGTTTTACCAAAATTGTAAAATTTATGGTACCTAGATCCATAGTTCAGGATGGGTCTTAGTTGGACATATGCCCTGTTCACAGATTTGTATTGTTTGTAGATTTTTGTTTTAATTGTTTACTGTTCATTATCTACACCTTATTCATTTAAAATATATTTCATCTTTGAGAGTCTTTCTCTTTTCATGGCTATATAAAAGGTAATCTCTGTCCATGATTAGCCCTCTACCAAGTTTGTCATATACACATGTATTGGAAATACGTTACACCTCTTCACTCATGGGAAACTACATGACAAAATGTTTGCATTATAAAGAGTAACACAAAACTTTCTACCAAACATTTATGGCCTCTGGTTCAAGCCCATGGGTGAGTTACAACGTTTTTATATTGGAAGTATATAATATCTATGAAATTCTTTTTCTTTAAAGCTTAGATATCTAGCAAATGAATTGTTTACATCTTTTATAATGAGCAGGCAGCCATTCAGAATTCAGAATATCAAGGTGGGACCAAGTTGGTTGTATTTTGAAATGTCATATATATGTACCTTATGTTCTTTACGCTTGAACTTCATGGAGATAATATGTGTGTAAATAGAGTCCTCACCATCTAAATTTCCAGTTCCGTCTGGGACCAAAGTGGCCGTAGCTTGAATGACCTCATGAATCACAGGTTAACATCATGGCCCATAGGATTCTTGTTTAAAATATGCTTATGAAAAATTACGATGTTGACAAAATTTACTTCCTTTTTCATGATAATAAAAAAGGAATATTTAACACTTGTTATACAGGTATAAGTATAAGTGTGCCTGCTGCCCAATCCTATGTTGTCTTAAAGTTTAAATATATCTATAACACAAATGCTGTTTAAATCAATTAAATTGGATTTATTCTGAATTCAAACGATGAAGAAATTAAATTAATGAGCATTTTTTGTGATAGATGTCTTATATAAAATGAAGTATTTGAAAGAATAGAAAGTAATGCCTCGATCATTACCGAGATGACCTAAATAGTAAATCTGGCACATTGTCACTTTCTGTTGGAATTCTAAGTTCCTTTAATGAAGAGTTCGTGACTTCGTCAACAAATGCTGATTTCTCGTAAATTTCATCAAAGAAATAGCCATCGTCTGGTGCACCTCCTAATCGCGTATCAATGTCGTCATGGTCTCCAATGGAGAACAATTCTCGTTCAGTTCTCGGAGGTGGGAGATCTTCCACTTCATCAGGTTCCAGTGGGTGATGGCTCCCAGTTGTGGAAGATCTTCGTCTAGTTAAATTCTTCAATCTCACACACGATTTGGAGTATCTGCAGAAGTCGCAAATTACATTCAAATATTATGAATAATCCCCCACAGGCACTTGTTTCGTATACAGGGCACCCTCTACTTATTTTTATCACAAGATATCTCATTTATTCCTCGAAAATTAGCTCACGACATTTTAATACTTTAGATGGAATACAGTAACTTCCGGTTAAAGTTTTGGATAAAACCAGAGACTTCCGAACTTCTCATTCTGAAGTCTCTGATTTTATCGTAGTTTTTATTCTAACCGAAAGTCGTTGTAAATGAGTTATATACAATAAAGAAGCTAGATTAAGGACGTCTGGAACAATACATTTGAAAAGAAAAAAAGTCTCTAGAAGCTAACAAAGTCTTATTAAACTAGGTAAATGATTAATAAATTAATAAGATACTGGTTTGAAATGGGGGTGCCTGAAATTGAGTTAGGTATCTTGTGGTAAAAATAAGAGAAAAAAAAGTCTCTATAAGCGAACTGTGTCTTTTTAAAGTAGGTAAATGATTAATACATTAATAAGATACTGGCTTGAAGTGGGGTGCCTGAAATTGAGTTAGGTACCTTGTGGTTAAAATAAGTAGGGGATGCCCTGTATACGAAACAAGTGCCTGTGCACTCCCCCCCCCCCCCCCCCTTCCCACCAATATGATAATAAGGTGACAAAAAAGTTTTGGAAACTCATAAACCGCTCCCGGAGAATTGAATGCTATTCATGCAATGGGAAAAGTTTACTCTTGATTACATGAGTAATGAAGTTGCCGTTGAAAATGGATTACTGAGTTTTTACCTTAATTTCTTGTATAATGTATACATGAGTACCAAGAGAGCGATGACAGCTACGATACAGATGACGATAATGATGATTTCGATGTCATCGTTTGGAAGCCCGTTATGTGCTGGGGTATGTTTTGTTGTTGGTGCATTTGCTGATTCGGGTGTCGTTGAGATATTATATGGAGTTATATTTATATATGGAGTTGTATTTGTAGTCATTACTTCGGTTTTCTTTATCTGTTTATAACACAACGAACAGCATTATTGGTGTTTCAAAATAAATATTGTGTGAAAATGCATTTATTATGAAAAAACTGTTATGAAAAATAGGTAACATAATATAATTGAATAATTATAACAATCATATGATACTTATGACATATATAGAACCTAAATTATAATACTGTATGAGATATAAACATGCACAAGCATAGACAGTGTTGATGTTTACTTGTCTGTTTTACGTACTCCCAGTTAAAGTTGAAATTAGATTATAATTAACAAACCCTACAATACAAAATTCCTTGTCGATTTACAGATCTTTCCTCAGCTCAGACTCTCAAAACGAAATATTATTTACCTGAGATTCTTTGGTGTTGTGAAACACATTACAGTTTCCCGTACACAGGTGAGAAATAGCAGGAAGTCCACACCTTAATCAGTAGATTTCATTTCGCCGGAGAATGTAAAACCTATACATATCACAAGGAAGAATCTCGTATATACAGTTGAAAAAAAATCGTTATTCTGATACGTACAGTGTGTATAATTGGCGCACGTGATTGTGAATGGGGGTACTATAAAACTTGTACGCCATAGGAACCTTGTACCCTCTGATACCGTTTAATATATTCCGTATATGTTGACTTACCCTAAGATAAGCGACGTACAAATATAAATGCAAGTTATAACAGGAGTTTAGTCTTATCCAAAAACGTACAGATTGTACGTAAATTTGAACAGGTAATTTTTTTTTAACATTTTCATTTACAGCATGCAAATATATTTTGTTTATCAAACCGAGATTTTTTAAAAAAAAAATATACCTATTCTTACGCTGATATAATTACATTTATTTTGAAATGGATTAAACTTTAAAAAAAAAGTTTTTATATATATATATATATATATATATATATATATATATATATATTAATAAAATAGTGTACATTGATAAAGCATTCGGAATCTGCTATTTGCAAAATCTGATTCATATTATTTGCATAAACAAAGGAGCTGATGACCTGAATGACATACTATAATTACGAATTCTATAGGAGTTATCGAACCTTCCTCTGATAAAAGCATGTGATTTGTAGATTTTTTTTTCAATTGAAGGAATGTATATAAATTTGGTTTATTAAAAAGAAAACATATGTAAGTTTACCGAAGATCAATTTTATATTGCAGAAGATGTGATCTAAATGTACATCAATATTGTATATATTATTAGTATACTTGATATTTTGTTTATAAATCCACACGTTTCTATCAACAAATGGATCTTATACTGCAGAAATTTCATAATAGATCAAGTACATTTTTAAAGATTGTCACACAGGGAGAAAATTCATTATGATGATGAATTAAGCTATTAATTATGGTTTTTATTGATCAAAAATAAAACTGTATTCTTTAAAAACAAGGTCTCATTAATTTACTGAGCTTAACGAGTTGTTTAAAACACATTTTACATCCACTTTTTGCGGTGCAATTTAGAAATTTACATTGCAAAACCACCCTAATCAGAAGTACACGCATGTGTCTCAGAACAAAGCCATGGACAAGGTATAGTTGTACATAAGGGGTGAGTGGTGGGATGGGGTCCTCACTCTCAGAATAGAATAGGATTTTACCTTTGCCCGCCCTAGTTCCCTCTCCCCCACAGAAAATTTTTTTTATCTACCCTGACAATACACAAAATGATAAGAAACTCAATTTGACTGTACGTGCCAAATAGATGTATAGGACAATAACACTCGTATTTTTAATTTGATAGAATTTATCTACAAATGTAATACCCTAATCAAGGTTTCCACTATTAAAAAATATTTAATTTAATAATCAGAGATAATTAATATGGGTAAATGTCTTTAAAATTATCAAGTTATATGAAAGTACAATATACATGAATAAATATTACAATTAACAATATTATAAAACTATGGTAAATAGTTTCTACGTCTCAGTCATTCTATGATAAAAGGACCATTACAGGGTCTATAACATGAACAAATAATTGCTTCAAATTGGCAATTGAACAATTCTTTTAAGGACATATACATGTATCAGTGATTCAGTGTGCTTGAGAAAATAATTATCCACAGATCTGGTATCATTATTTTTTTTTCAACAATTTCGATACACCCACGGTCATAAGGCAATGTTATGGAAGTTTTTAAAAAATGCTTAAATAGGATTCAGTATTTTTAAATAAACATGAATTGACCTTGTTTTCGTTTTCTGATGTTGAGTAGTAGAACGGTACAACGTGATTTTTCAAGTAGGGCACGAATTTTATTCGGGGAAAATATCGTTATTCGGTATTGTAGTTAATTTTCAGGGATAAATGTTGAAATTCTCGGCAAACGATGCAATTAAAGTTTGTTTTAAGATGTTAATCATATTAGAAGTATGAAGTATTTCTCTTCCAAATTAATAAAACTTTTTTAAATATATATTTTAAATGCAAAAACAATCCTTATTCACCGCTAGAATTTAAATTCTTAAGAGAGACAACTATTTTTTTCTAATTCGATTTGTTATATAAAATGTAATGGTATTATCTGACTTGAAACTACAATCGATTATATTAGGTTCATGGTCACTTTCAGAAAGTTCCAGTTGATTATCAGATCTGCATGGTTGCTCTGGAATTTAAAACAAAAACGTTTCCAAAGTTAAATAATTTTCTGTGACATGCTGATTTTTTTATGAAATAAGATCCATTTTTTTGTTGTTGTTGTTGCAAGAAGAGGTTTGTTTTTATATAAAAGAAAAAAAAAAACTTTTCTTCAGTATCCCATGCAATTAATTCGGAATGCTTATAATATACAACTGAAAATTTCGTCTTTTATAAATAAGTGAAGCGACATTAAGATTTGCAGTGCAATATGTTTTTAAATATTATATTACTGTACGTTAATTCATATCAAAAGTCTTACTGCATAAATTCGCTAGTCTTTAGGTCGAAACCGATCTTTTAAATCAAAAATATGATATGTTACAAGGTAAATTTGTAAACGACATGAAAAATTGTTATTTGGTCACGTTTTTATAGAATGACTGGTATTTCCTATTACATTTCCTTATATTCGCCCAGTAAACATTAGATCCGCCCAACTGTTTTTGACACATTACGCTATCATTGTATATAATGTATCCTTAATGTCCCGGTCGTCAGAAAACATAAACTTCCTTTCCTTGTCCACGCCAGGTCAAATCTCTATCTCCATATCCTCGTTATCGGTATTTCCCTTTCATTTGTTCCAATCACTTCTACCTGTTCGATCGGAACTCGGAATCTGGTTTTTCATTGTGTTAGTTTTAACGTGTTATGAACTTGTTTCGTTTAAATGCCTGTCATTCATTCATAAGGAATTTGGGTCGATACGGTAGAACTATTGAAATTCAAGGGAAAAAAAGCTGTGTAAAGTTCCACTCAAAGGAACCTGGGTGTATTCACCTAAAAATGGCGGAGCAGTATAGTAGTTAAATTAATTAGTGATAACCAAGACATATTTGATTAAAAGTGCGTATGTTAATGCGGACTATAATTGAATTCGTTGAGTAGCCGTGTGATAAGACTATTGTGTTACCAAACCACGCTTCTGTACGTTTACCTGAGGATTTTTCCGGGTAATTTAAGATCATTTACACATATACCAACTCTTTACAAACTGGTATACACGCCCTAGAGAGAGAGGGACACTGTAATAAGTTTCCGTATAATCTGCCAATGGATTGATTAACCAGTTCCTAAATGGCTACTGCACTCAATGGAACCAAGGTTTGTTTTGTTTACGTTTGCTAAACGAAAAGTGTAATGAAAAATGTAATGAAACACTATTGGATTCAACGTTTACACATTTGATGGTAATATTAACGTGAGAAAAAATTAATGATGAATGTTGCAAGACGATGACTGTGTACATATTTTATGATGAATGTTACTGTTGCTTCAGAGTTTTGAATCGAGTTTGTCGTCTGCAATCAATGAAAAGTTTACTGTCAAGTATGCAAATGACAATTTATGCATATGGCTTTTCTATATATGTCTTAAAAAATTAATTCAAAACATCAGAGCACAGAACGAACAGCAAATCACCTGGCTGTACTTTTTTGTTTTGCTCAAGTGCATGTAATTATAAATAATTAATAGTTTTAATTAATTCAAAATCTGAACCCGTATACAACTCAAACATACCCGAACGATGTGCATTTACTTTGTACTATTGAAAACATTTTTGATTTCTTTACAAAAAAAAATATGGAGAGTAGATGCTCTTTTCTGTTAACCCCCTTTCCCTAACGCTAAACGATTAAGAAATTTTCTGATTCTATATCTAGGATACAGTGAAGGGCAAGCTGTATTTAATTCTTGATATTGTTTTTAAGTTAAGATTAACACCTATCTGTTGCTTGTTTTTGGTAACATTTTTCTGTATCGCCGTACAAAGTAAGAAGAGGAATTTCAATAACTTTATCAGATGAAACCTTTACAACAGAGAGGTGTCTGGCTTATAGTGTATCATCTCTACATCAAATATCATTTCGAAGTCAGAAAAAAGGACTAGACTTCATTTCTTTCATATCACAAATAACAAAGAATAAATTACAGCTATTTAAAATTTCACAATAGTTCTGTTATATCACACACAAAAACTTGGAAAGGTTGTGTTTTTAAATTGTTTGGATTGGCCAATGTATTTGGTGTGTCATTGTCAATAGGACAATGAAGGTATATATAATGAAATGATGACTTGCTATAGGTAAGCTGTTAAGCTTCTTAACAATGTGTCACGTCCCTTGTAATTCATTCCCTAAAATTTTCAAACGCGGAACTGGTATGTAAAAGGATTGTATACATTGATATTTCTATCTAAAATTCTTTCCATTATTTTTCTTTAAAAAACGTTAGATTTTTTAAGATTCATATAACATGCCCCTCACCTAATCTACCCCTGCAATTTAATCATTTTCAATATGTATGTTAAAAATATGCTAATTCATAAGGTAATTGTAACCTGTTAGTCCAACAAGTTGCAACAAACGAACATCTGTCATGTCATATCATACACTGTTATAACTTAGCTATTAATAGATCTTTCTACCCAGTGACACACCTTTCAAAATGAAAAACAAGCTGTTTTCGAATCAGATAGGAAATCCTTTTTTTATGCACCAGTGAATACATTAAATGTGATACAACCTAATCCCTCCAGAGTTTCAAAATTGTATCAGTCGTGGAAAGTCGAATAAAAAAGTAAAATAATTTGAGGTAGTGCATGAAGACTTCAATTCTGTTCTTATGATTATTAATCTCCTGTTTTCTTTTGTTGTTTTACGTCGTCCGCCGATCACAAACTTTTGTCACATTTTCAGCTTCTTCTCTAGAATGACTGAAACAAAATTTCAACCAATTGTTTGGCATATAGCATCTATGAATAAAGTGAAACAAAATTTTCAAATTTCAATGTCCCTGCCTCCATGAGTCCTAAGAGTAGGAACCAAAACCAAATTAATGCAATCTTAAAAGAAAATCTTCTTCACACCTGAACATGCAGAAGGTAAACTATTTGCATTACAGAATTAGCAGTAAGCCCTTGCCGCTGCAGGGTTCAAACTCAAGGATAAGACTAACTCTTACATTAAAAATGTATTATATATATTAAGATAAAATCTTTACTCACTGACATCAAGCAGGAAATTAAACAGTTGGTATGATTATAGTAAGTACTCAGCGTTGAAATTCATTGCTCTCATGTTCATGTTTCAGGCCTTAAGGTTGGACCAAATCGATCTTGTATTGAAAATACATTACGACTTTGAAGAAAGTTCTTCTGTATCAATGGGTATTTAACAGGAAAACGGCTCTTCAATTCCAAAACTGTGAAATTCATGCCCCAAGGCCCATGCTTTCAGGCACCAGAGTGGGGCTTAGTTGGTCATGTATTGAAAATACAGACACACAAATCTTTTAACTCATGGATGTCCAGTAGATATACCTCTCGCATGATTATTTTAAATGCTTAGCACACATTCAAACTTTTAAATTCATTCCCCATCCCTGGCCGTGGGTTCAGGCACAAGGATGGGTCTAAGTTGATCATACTAGTTTATTGAAAGTGGATTACATATTTGAAATCTAAACATCTAAAAGGCAGTTTGTTGGATGAATAAAATGAGCAGCTAGTCCTCTACAAAAACTCATAAAATTCATGTATCCCCTGTTCAGGCCACATGATGGGGCTATAATTGGTAATAGATTGAAATTTATTGCACAGTATATCTTATCTTCTTTACTTCTGAACTTCTAAGAGACAAGCTGCATGAATCAGATAATAATTTTAAAGTCCTCACTACATTGTGAAATGATATGAGACCAGTTTCAGTTCCAGATGGGTTGATAGCCTAAGAAACTCATGATACTCAGGCTATTGTCAAAGTGTCTCAACAGGTGTCTCAAGCCTCCTGTTTTATTTTGGCCATGCAATAGTACATGTATGTTTATTTTTGGTCAAGTTTGCTTTTCTTTATGCTTTTTTAGAGGCTATCAATGAGTTTTTCTTTCCATACATGAATTTATGCATACCTGAAAACCATCAGCTTTTTACACTTGAAATTTGCTAGTCTCTTTATTTACACAATAACATAACACCAGCCCGATATCTTATCTATCTTATTGCCGTGTACATGACCAGAATATAATGTTATCCTTAAACCTTACCATTTACTTTCCTTTGAGGTTTCCAATTAGAACAGTAAAATTAAGATTTCTCTGAGCTTTCAATCTCTTTTAAGCTGTAAATGTAAGATACAAAATTTGAAAGATTTTTAAAGATACTTTGAATAGAGTCATTGTGACTTTTAAGAATGAACTTTTCGTGGTATTTTGAATGTCCGTATAACATTCCGTAACACAGAATTTAATGATAAGTTTAACGAAACTGACCACAATAGGAATTAAGGGATCGGAAAACTTAGGTTTAAAGTAATCTAAAGAGTTAATTCGAAATCGTAAACAATCTACAATTAACTTCTACTTCTTCAGGTTATGACCTTAATTTTTACCCTAGTAACGCTATGTTACAGTTTTTAGTACAGATTGAATTCACAAGGCGAAGCAGACTTTATGTTGTGTAGTAACAGATTATAAAAAGTATTGACATAGAGAATACACAATGTTAGCTTTGAAAGTAATGAAAAAATGACGAAGATGTGTATTGCTTTTCATGACGTTGACTTTTCAAATGAAATATGAACTAAGTAATCTTTTCGGCAGCCAAATGGATGCAAAACCTTTTTTTTGTTATCGTGATAAAGTATATTTTTAATTGTTGGCTTTTTCGTCTGACGACGGTATGGGCTGCAATCTTCTATAACTATTGAGCATTATATCTGCTGGCCACAATATATGCTACATATAGCGACATTATTGTTTGGCAACAATTCCGTTAAAATTTGTATATATTTTTGCCAGTGACAATATACGCTGGGCGATAGTTTGTAACTTTCAAAGGGATGAAACATGAAAGAATTATCTTATTGCATGGCATCAAATAAGAGATTGAAATGGAATATGACTGTGTTTTTCTGGGGAAAAATTGTTTCTCAATATCCAAACTATTTTAATTGCCTCAAGGAGCAGATTTTATTGAGAAACATGTAACAGCAGAGTCTTTGTTTCTAAGCCTCATAGATATTACTTTTGCATTATAGAAGAACTTGGATTTAAGGAAGCTCTAAACACTGCACACTAAAGAGTTCTAACTGTAGGGTAGTTTTATACAGTTAGAGTGATCTGCCCTTAGAAGTAAGATAGAAAAAATGGTTATTTATAGTTAATTACACAACTTGTAATAGATTAAAATATTCGTAGCATTATATTAGACCAAGAATAAATTGAATTCATTATTTCCATTAATTTCCCCCAATGTTGGTAAACAACAAAATACATAGCGGGATCTAGTCAATTTTCTAACAAGCCTCTTTTATCACTCCTCACGAATATATTAACAGCAGTAAATGAGAAACTTCACCAGTACTGCAAAACATATTCGAAAAGTGATTTTAAACAAAATAATGTGGATATAACTGTACCCCAAAAAAATATCCAAAGAATTTTGATATTAAAGAAAACAATTTGGATACACTGTACAAAAAAATCCAAAGAATTCTAAGATAATTTGAAATAACATGTTTTCCTAATATCAATATTAATATCAAAAGATGACTTTTCAGCACTTTATACAACAATCCATGATAAAAATCATTTGGCATCATAGAAAACTAATTTTTCAATGAAAAAGGTGAAGATAACAAACGGTGATCGATCTAAAAAAAAAAAATCAACGAACAATACAGATCTGTGAACAGGGCATAAAAACGGACCGAAAATATCAGAGGCGGGATCAGGTGCCTAGAAGGAGTAAGCATTCCCTGTTGACAGGTCACACCCGCCTTGAGCCCTATTTATTGATCAGGTAGACGGAACATTCCGTAGTCAAATTTAGTATAAAAACAAACGCCTAACAATTGATATGAAACACATCAGCCAAACTACCACCTATTGATAGATTATATTTGTTGACAAGGTAATTATAAAGACCATAAAATTTACGAAATGCTAACGAGGTTGTTGAAATCCATATAACATCAATATATCTGGCAATTGCCTTCGTCGATTTAAAAATTGATCGTACTCAGAGCATGCTCTTGAGTAGTCTTGTTTAAAGTCATCATTTCGTAAGTTCTATGATCGATACAATGGCCTTGTCAGCAAGTACAATCTATCATTAAGTCAAATTCTGACTGACGTTTTTCATACTTGTTGTAAGACCATTATTTACACACTGAATTGTCGACGGATTTTCCCGTTATTTCCCGATAATGACAAGGAGCACACGTCGGGTGTGACCGGTTGGCAGGAAATGCTCACTCCTCCATGGCACCTGATCCCACCTCTGATGTATCAGAGGTCCGTGTTTGCTCTGCTCCTGATTTGTAATGTTTAATGGACTTCTGAGCTTGAATACTGTTCGTTTTCTCCATATATTTCATTGCAAGACGTAAACACCAAAGCACTAGCAGGTGATAGAGGAATGTTACTACATAATATACCAGGGGATTTTTGCATATTTTGTGATTGGTCACCTAAAATTTTACTTTGTTAAAACCATTCCAAACATAAATACTCTGAAGTTGTTATTTAAAAGTTTCTTGGATTTCTAATCGACAATATCTGTATAGTCTTTGGAGATAAGGACTTCCAATAATCTGTTTCAAGAGAATTTTTTTGTTTTCTGATGAAGCAGAATTTATTTTTAAAAAACTTCTACATAAAAGCTGAATATTAAGCGAGACGCAAATTTAGCGATTAAGCCGTAATTTTAGCGATTTGACAATATTTTGCAAGATAGCCTTACCTCCTTAGTGCTGAATGAATTGTAAGTGATATGCAATTTTAGCGATCTCAACATCTTAATTCGCTAATAATACGAAAATTGAATCCTTGCTAAAAATGCTGCTAATACGATAAAAAGAAGTTTCCTGCTCTGGCCTCCAGTTCGACATTCGTATATATCAATAACATTCTATCAATTAACAATATCCACCTTCATTCATGCGTTGGTTCCATTTATCCCACTGAACTTGAAATAAGATGCCACAGAGTCTGACACATCTGTTTGATATTTGGATGTTTTACTAGAGTAAGACATTAATGCCAAACTAACAACTAAACTTTAAGATAAACGTGATGACTTTAAGTTTTCTTTCAGCAACTTCCCTTGTGAGTGTAGAAATATATCATATGCATATGGTGTTTTTGTCTCCTAATCTATTCGATACGCAAGAGCATAGCTTTTGATTGTGGACAATTTTTAAATCGACAGGCTACTAACAAATTTTGGTGTTATAAAGGTGCCAACAATCTCGCTTAAAGTCAAAATCTCGCAAATTTTATGGTCGATACAATGACATTGTTTGTAAATAAATCCTGGCCTTACGTCGAATTTTGCAGCTGTTTTTGATACAAATTTGTAGGTCGTTATTTTCATGCCGAATTATCTACGAATCACTCCGTTAACCCAAACAAGACAAAGGGATTACGTTGAGTGTGACCAGTAGGCAGGGGATGCTTACTCCTGCATGGTACCTGATCTCTCTGATGTTTTCAGAGATCCGAGTTTGTAATGTTCTGAATTTGTATTGTTTAAATGGACTTTTGAGAAGAACTACTGTAAATCACTTTTTATTTGCGAGAACTTTATTTTCGCGTAATTTCGCGAGACAGCTCGCGAAAATTTCATTCTCGCGTGTAATAGTATTCCTTAAGATTATATAGAGGAATAACAATAATCCGTGAAAATTATGTCTCGCTAATAAAGAATCAATGACTATATCGCGAAAATAAGGTGTCGCGAAAATTTAGTGATCTACAGTACATTAACTGCAAAACAATTTCAATAACTTCGATTGCTACATTTCTGTGCCCCTTTAATGAACTCTTTACTAATTTGTACCTTACTTTATAGATGATAGTGTTTTAATGTAGCAAATTTTTTAATAAGGCAGCCACTTTTTACAATATCTGGCCAACGTTAACAATGCTCTTGGCTAAAGTTAATTAAAAATCATTTCCTTAAGCAAAATAAACATACGCTCCGAAAATCAATGATAACAGTGTATATCAGGAACAAGGTATTTATCCTCACATCAAATTACTGATGTGAAAGAGGTAATAATGAATAAAATAAAGCAACATACATAGCTGTCTTCTGTTTATAAGAATAACGGCTTTATATGAACAAAAAATGAAAAACACATTGACCAATACACTTACTTGGCTGACCAGGACGAGCGGTCAGTTATCGTGTCCTGTAATTGACATATCTTGTTATACATGTGTACCTAATAACAGTAATGGCCCTTTAGTCCATGCAGGAAAATTATATCCACAGTAATGAAACACCCAAGTGGTCCCTATTGTTAACATCTATAAGAAGAAATTACAAATGATGTACATACGAATTTTGATGATATTGATATAGATATGTTAGTTATTACAAGGTGTTTTTGGTCAGAATAATTGCAGCTAATATAATGATAAACTTTCTAAGATTTTTGTTTGTCACAATTAGCGCTTGTTTACATGCTTCAACTCTGCTTAAAATAAAATCATTTCATCCTAAAACAACCCCCCCCCAAAGAAAATAACAAAAAACAAACAAAGAAAAAACAAAACAAAACAAAAAAAACCAAACAAAAAAAAAAACAAAAAAAAAACGATCAAACAAACATATATAAATACCCAACATACACATATAATTTCGTCTATTTTTCAAAATAAATAGAGCAGAAAACTTTTAATAATTTCATCTGAAAGAATTCTTACAAAATACAGATGGGGTATTGCATTATTCACATTTTACCAGCCACAAAATCAAAACCAAAGATGATAGATTTTTCAGTCGATATGGACCCATAAACACATTTTTGTTAAAACGTGTGGTTTAATACATATATTTGTGTAATATTACATTGTGTAAAGCTCCCTGAATGATGATTGTCTTATTTGCAAACCTCGAATTCTATTCTCTAAAAATTTGACAATATAATGCATTTTCTATCTATCAATCAATACCACTGTACATGTATATGGATAAAATTAAACATTTAAAAATGATTGATTGTCAACAATTGAATGAGTCATTTGTGTTTAGTAAGTTTGTACATATATTGTTCATTTTCTTGCACGTGGCCAATACTTCTTTACTTGTGGACAATAACTTCCTTTTTGTGGAATGGCCTTTAGAGGTATTCGTAAATGTGTAAGTAATGGTCTGCAAACCAAGACTAAGTTCCATATCAATACGTACATAAAAATAAAACTGGCGCGCATAGTTTATGTATTTGTTTTTGTTATAGGCTGCCAAGCATGTAAGCCAAATATCCGTGGGTGGATCAGCTGCCCCTAAAAAGAAGGAATCCCTGCCATCCACGCCAGCGTTTGGGGGAGACGAGAGACATTTTAACTTAGCCGTGATTAATGGGGAAGACACTCAGGTCAAACAACCAAGGAATGGCGAGAATGGGGAGGAAGAACTCGATCCAAAGTTTGGAAAAGCGACTTTGTCAAAATCAGCCCCAGTTGCAGACGTAGTGGTAAGATATTTTTGTTTGTTTTGCCCTAAATGGAATTATACACATTAAAAGTTACCAGTACCTTATTTTTCATGGAACTCGTAATAGAACTGTACTTAAAAATTTTTTTTCTCAAAAAATCAGATTATCCTATTGAATTTAATAATCAGGGTGTAGAGATATTGCATGTTAATTACCATAGGTTATGTCAATAAGTTTTTTAGCTCACCTGAGCTGAAAGCTCAAGTGAGCTTTTCTGATCACCCGTTGTCCGTCGTCCGTCCGTCTGTAAACTTTTCACATTTTCAACTTCTTCTCAAGAACCACTAGACCAATTTTAACCAAACTTGGTACAAAGTATCCTTGGGTGAAGGGGAGTGTAAATTCTTAAAATAAAGGGCCAAGTCCCCTTACAAGGGGAGATAATCAAGAAAAGACAAAAATAGGGTGGGGTCATTAAAAAATCTTCTTCTCAAGAACCACTGGGCCAGAAAAGCTGAAACTTATGTGGAAGCATCCTGGGATAGTGTAGATTCTAAATTGTTAAAATCATGACCCCAGGGAGTAGGGCGGGGCCACAATAGGGAATCCAAGTTTTACATTGAAATACGTTAGAAAAATCTTTAGAAATCTTCTTCTCAAGAACCATTGGGCCAGAAAAACTTATATGGAAGCATCCTGGGGTAGTGTAGATTATAAATTGTTCAAACCAAGACCCCCGGAGGAAGGGCGGGGCCACAGTAGGGAATCCAAGTTTCACATTGAAATATATAAGAAAAATCTTTACAAATCTTCTTCTCAAGAACCACTGGGCCAGAAAAGCTGAAACTTACATGGAAGCATCCTTGGGTAGTGTAGATTCTAAATTGTTCAAATCATGACCCCCTGGGGTAGGGCGGGGCCATAATAGGGAATCCAAGTTTTACATTGAAATACATAAGAAAAATCTTTACAAATCTTCTTCTCAAGAACTACTGGGCCAGAAAAGCTGAAACTTATATGGAAGCATCCTTGGGTAGTGTAGATTCTAAATTGTTCAAATCATGACCCCCTGGGGTAGGGCGGGGCCATAATAGGGAATCCAAGTTTTACATTGAAATACATAAGAAAAATCTTTACAAATCTTCTTCTCAAGAACTACTGGGCCAGAAAAGCTGAAACTTATATGGAAGCATCCTGGGGTAGTGTAGATTCTAAATTGTTCAAATCATGACCCCCGGGGGTAGGGCGGGACACAATAGGGAATCCAAGTTTTACATTGAAATATATAAGAAAAATCTTTAAAAATCGTCTTTTCAAGAACCACTGGACCAATAAAGCTGAATCTTATTTGGAAGCATCCTGAGGTAGTGTAGATTCTAAATTGTTCATATCATGACCCCCGGGGGTAGGGCGGGGCCAGAATAGGTATATTAAAAGGGGGGAAATCTAGTAAAGAACAGCATGGCCAAAGTTACGCAGGTGAGCGATGTGGCCCATGGGCCTCTTGTATTTGTATACAAAAGAAACCAATTTCACAATAATGAATATGATCCAGTCTCATTTTATTGTAATTCAAGAGAGAACGTCTTACAAGTGAAATACAACCACCAAATCAAGACGAACTCGCCAATGGTAACGGAAACCATGAAGCCGGACCGCCGTCCAGTGACTCCACGACATCAGATGAGAGATCTTCTCACAGTTCCACACAAGATTTCCCAGAACCATCAGGTTCGGCGACCAGCTGGACGATCTTCGCACAGTCCTACTTCCAGGTTAAAGGCTCCCATACATACCTTTGCTCAGCTTTGCAACAACCACTACTTCCAAAAAAAGACAAGGCAGAAATACTGGTAGGTTTCAAATAATCTGTTAGAAGTACACATTAGATAAATTCTTATTTTTTAATGTTTTTTTTTTTAATTTCAAAGATACAAACAATAAGATGTATAGCCTACTCATTTTAGGTTGTTAAAATTGTTTAAATTTTCAATCACTGGACATCTTAACAAAGCAAATAAAAAAAGTTTGTGATAATAATTGCAACTTTTTGGAATTTAATACTTATTGTTGTGCTACAGGCATCCCTTGCATCTTGGGTAACTATTTTAAGAATCATGGGAGATCTTCCGGAATCTGATCAAGGGGAGAGCATAGATGTGGCTGGGGTGAGTTATTTTATGTAGAAAACAATTTATGTCGAAAGCTATTAGATGAAAGTACATCTGCCTATTTGAAATTCAAATTAGATCACCAAAAGGAACTAATGGCAATTTCTCAAATGAATTATACTGAAGATGAAAGAACATGCATTAAAATTATAATCCAGAAAATTAGCCAATTAGAACGGATATAAAGTCTGCCTCGAAGTACTTCTGAAAAAAGTTGTAACAATTCATTTTTATCATCATGATAGAGTGCACCCCCAATTATAAGTCAAGTGAAGCAGAGTTTTCATAAGAAATACACAAAGCGTGATGTTGACGAGGCTTACAAGAAATACTCGGAGCTGGTGAGTTCATGCGATTAGACATAATTAAAACAGTCTTCCAAAAGTAAAGTATGACCTTGAATTCAAGAAAACAAGGGTCTAGAATCAGAATTATGTATTTATATTTACATATGATTTCAGCTAGGAAGTAAAATAGAAAACTTTATAAAACTCTAAAATGAAAAGGCACATTTTGATGAAACACAAGGTATAGTTTCGAAAAAAAGTATTAAATAAATGAATTCATGTTCAAAATAACATTATTTTTTTAATGATCAAAAATATAAATCATATCGAACCAAAAGAAATACAATATCTATGAGCTTAAAAGTTTGTTTATAATGCTCACCATATGTTTTACATTTTATCAGCACACATTTTTCAGAATTACACTAAAACAAATACAATAAAAATCATTTTTAGTTTAAGGATCCTTCACACTCTGAAGTTCGCAATTTACCATTTCTGTCCGAGAGGGTTAGCTCTATTCTGGAAAAAGTCCAGTATGTCTGTGCTGTTGGAATCTACAAACCAGAATTAAGGTAAGCAGCAGAATAGAAGTTCTTTCAAAATTTAGGTTTGTTGATTTTACAGATTGATAAGCAATCATATGGAAGATCCTCTTATATTAGTAATTTTATGCAAATGATCAAATTACCACGTAAAAACCTTTTATAAATTTTCATTTCAATTTCCATATTAAGCAACATAAAGATATATTTTCAGTTTGAATATGATAAAATTTTCTTCAAAGAAGACAAAAAAGACTTGAGGTGTTTCAAAACGTGTCTGTTACAGAGACGAGATTTTTTGCCAAGTTTGTAAACAGCTGACCAATAATCCCTCTCGGAACAGCACAGTTCGAGGCTGGGTTCTTCTGCATCTATTGGCGGGTTGTTTCACGCCCACAGAAAAAGTAGGTGTCTTGAATAAAGAAAATGTTATGATTTTTTTATATGAATGACAAGGAGTACAAAGGGTTTGTAGGTCGATGTTTCATGTCATTATAGTGAGAGACTTTGATCAACAATGATTCAGAAGAATATAAATCAAGTTCTGGAATTTCAGAATTTATACACTCACTCAATAGGTAGAATATTTTCTTTCAAATGAGGTATTTCTGCTTTCAGTTTTTCCCATGTTTCCTTCATTTCCTCAGAGAATCGTCTCCTATATTTGCATGTCGGGTTGAGCGTCTTGTTCGAAGAACTGCCATAGTGGGAACAAGGGGATATCCGCCCAGTTGGCTCGAATTCCAGGTCTGATCTGGTTAACACATTACGTAATAGCTATTTAAAGAAAGAACAAACAAACAAAATGCATTGTATGGTCTTGTGTTTGATTATGCAGGCTTCCAAGAACAGCAAACCTATACTAATTCCCATGTCTATGATGAATGGACAACGGTTGATAGTAGAGGCAGATTCAGCTTCTTCTGTTCAAGAACTAGCCATGCAAATCTGTCATAAAGCCGGCTTAAAGGATTCATCAGGGTTTTCCATATACATCACGCTCATGCAACGTGTATGTCCTGTTTCTATTTTTTGTAAAATTATCAAAACGCATCTCGACGAAATAAAAATTTAATACCAATTAAAATATTTTTAAGTGTAATATAATAACAATATTGATTAAATATCTTAAACAAGCAATGATTTCTGCACAGATTTCATGTCTTGGAAATGGTCTCCACCGTGTTATGGATGCTGTGGCAGAATGTGAACAACACACACGACAAATGGGCATGCGTGAAAGTAGTTCAACATGGCGGTTATATTTCCGAAAGGAATACTTTGTTCCATGGCATAATCCAAAAGATGATCCAGAAGCTACAGATCTGATTTATCAACAAATTATGCGTGGAGTCTCCGTTGGCGAATACAAATGTGAAAAGGTTAAAGACATTTTGATTTATCCCGATTCTATCCATTGTTACCGAAGGTTGTTACAATATTAAGATGAATAATACATAGTTTCAAAGAAGTAGAAATTATACTTTTTAAACAAAAGAAAAGGGATTTTAAAAAAAAATAGATATTAAAAAAACTTATAATCAAATATTTACCCAAATGAAGAAATATTTGTTAAATTTTGAAAGTAATGAAATATTTTTTTTTCTTAATAAAAAAAACCTAAGGATGAAGATATGGCAAAATTAGCAGCCCAACGTTATTTCATTGAAAATCCAGGAACTGTGGACACAACAAAACTACAGACATTTTTAACAAGTTGGCTTCCAGAATCCAATAAGAAAACCATAGACTTACCATATTGGACAACAAAAGTAATGGAAGTGTTACAAAATGACATAACGAAAGACCGCAATAAAGTTCGGGAACTCAAATGTGATGTAGTGAATTTTGCAAAGGAAAAGTGGCATTCTGTATTTTCACGATTTTATGACGCTAGCAAAATTCAAAATGCTACAATGACATGGCATAATGTAATTCTTGGACTGAATAGTAAAGGGTTACAAATTCTTGATGAGGAAGAGGACGTCAAAAGTTCCATTTCATTTATAGAAATCACAGATGTCTTTAAAGGAAGGTCAGTCTTATTTTTTAATCACTGAACAAATTTAGCCTAAAAATTGATCACGTAGTTAACTTTTTTCAAAGAAAATTAAGATATAGATTCTAATACATGAACCCTGATTCCGTTTTCCACCATTAAATACGAATTAAAGAGTCGGAAGCAAAATTACACAATGAAAACGTATCTTATGTCACAAGATTTGCAGTATAGGATCACAGTCAAATAAAAAATAGTACCACTTACAGGCACTCCGTTACCATTAGTACCCTTCGCTCTGAGGACTTTGTGGTCAATTCTAATCATGCTGACGATCTTTACTTGTTGGTCAATACGTTCATGGATGGTCTACGACGAAGGTCAAAGTACGGAATCGCTGTCCAGGATTCCACGCAAATCGGTGGGTTAAATTAAAATTAATTATTGGAATGATTGAATTTGAAAGATTTATAATGTAAAATTTAAGTAAATCTGTAATGATAACATGATCGTTCAAGTTTTGTTGCTTTTTTTTCCTTTGACATAATTATTAATCTTTCAGACATAAGTTAAGAAATCCAGACTGTTTTGCGTCAGAATGTGTATAAATTAAGTTTCTAAATCTAGATGTCAATTGATATGGCTATTTATGTAAATGTTCCTACAGCTGTAAATATCCCTTATCTCAAGCCGAGGACATCCTTCTTGATGCCATCTAACAATTATCATGCAGCTTTTTATACTTACTGCCATCTTTAACAAGTAGAGACAAACGAAATATGATTTCTTTAACGAAATAGTTTATATTCCCTGGTATTGATGATCATGTTCTAGATTATATGTTTCCTTAAATGTTAGCAGTTAATACAACTGCTGAAATACGTATTGAAAGACGAGACTTTTCCACAGCTGTTCTCTAGAGGACATTCTTGCGGGTTGTCCAAAATTTGTATTTATATTATAAAAATTAATCATGAGTCGTACATATTTTTATATTCTTCAACAAATTGTATTTATTCTTTAATCCGTTAGAGATTTTGAGTTGGAGTGCAGTTGATCAGTTTTTATATTACAGAGGGTGCAATAGGAGTAAGCCTTACCAAGGGCGACCTGGTTGAACTGGAGCAACCTTATGAACATTTTATGAATGAAGATGTATACAGCGCCACCTGTGTTAGAACAGGAAAACTCACAATGATGCCAAGGGACTTAATATACGTCATCCCAACTGTCGATTGTCCAGCTCACGATACCTTAGTAAGAATTAGAGAGCATCAACAATAATAACAGCAAAATATAATCATGAAATAAAATTAAAAATAAAAAAAAACCTACACGTTGTTCAGTTCATAAGACATATCAAAAATTCATTTTTTTGCAGGGCATGTTAACTGTACAATTACGCAAAGATCCTAGTGTTTTCCCCACCCATCGTTGTGTTCAGCGAGAGCATACGTTACAAATGTACTCAAAACTTCATTTTAGGTAGAGTATTGCTTGTATATTTTTGTAACAGACTTTATATAGATTACAATATATATTATTCTAATTGTTTACTAGTATCTAATGTTCAAACGAAGCCTAAAATCTTCTTGATAAAACTTTACAATTAAGATGGTAATTGTACAGGTAATATCATTACATCTTTGTTTAATTAAGACGGAATGATTTATGCTAGTTTGTATTTTAATTACAGACATAGCAGCGATAATGCGGTTACCAAGTTTTTATCCAAAGCTTCATTTAAATCCTCCAAGAAAGAGAAATCACAAACAAACTGGCAATTTCAAAAGGAACCAATCAAAAAGCCGCTACTAAGAAGAACTCATCTTAGGGAGGAGCTTAGAAGAGCCAGTTGTAGAAGTTTTCTTGATATCCTTTACATGTTTCATACTTGAAGCATAATCTATTAGAGATTAGAGGAAATACCAACTGTTTAAAATACTTTTGTCTAGATTTTATGATGATGTGATGTTACCGTACTTTTTTATGATATTGAGACATTGGTTATCATATAAAAGAAATACGCGTTAGGTGAAGATAACGTACAATGATCATCTTATAAAAAACCTACATACAATAAAATATGTAAACAGGGCATAAAACACGGACCTCTGGAAATTCCAGAGGTGGGATCAGGTGCCTAGGAGATGTAAACATTCCCTGTCGACCGGTCACCCCCGCCTTGAGCCCTATGTATTGATTAGGTAGACGGAAGAATATAGTGATGTAGATGACGTATTTTAAGTTATTCGTCCATAACCGGCTTACCTATTCAGCAGTACATGGGGGACAGCCCAATTCCTGACCAGATGTCGGAAATGGAATTATCCAATGAAAACATTATAGAACCAGCCATGAGAAGTGTATGTGATTGACAAATAAATCTTGTCATATTTTACCACTAAATGTTAACTCCGGTGATATTAATGAAAAAAGCATGTAAAATAGACTGATATTCAAAGATAATTAAAACTGGTGTAATGTTATAAACAAATTGCGCACACGTATATTACTTTCTTTCTTTCAGAGACACATGCGCGATGAAATATACTGCCAAATTGTCAAACAGCTTACAAATAACCCAAATAAGTAGGTATTTCTTTATGCCACGAATAACTCCGATTTTTTATGAATATATTACTAGTTCTTTTCCTGTCCATGTTCTAGGTCTGGTGAGGATAAAGGCTGGCGACTACTTTATCTTCTTTGTACATGTGCAGTGCCAAGTTCAGAACTTTATGATGAATGCGAACAATTCATGAGAGGGTGTACACATCACTTAGCCCAGAAATGTCTGAAAAGACTTAACCTCACTAAATCGTATGTTAATGATATCGTTATTCTATTTCGCTGTTATCAAGTATAAATGTAGAATACATTTTCATGATATTCTTTTTCTTCTCAGAGACGGAGCACGGCAGTACCCACCACATCCAATGGAACACGTTGCCATGACAAATAAAAGTAATACAATCAAAATCACCATAGGTTTCCCATTCCAACAACAGCAGGTGTGTATTTACGAAACACAAGCTACTACAATGTAGCCTGCTGTCCAATCCATTTCTGTTTCAGCACATAATAAAATATGTTCAAATCAAATTACTACAATGTAGTTAATAAATAAATCCATTTGTAAAGATAACTTCAATTCAACAAGAGGTCCATGGACCACAGCTCTCACCTGAGTCACTTTGGCTCTGCTTTCCTCATCAACAGATTTTTCCCCTATACATTCCTATGCTTAACTTTGATCATCTATTGGGCCCCATAATATTCCCAGGGTCATGATTTGAACAAACTTTATTAATCTTCACTTCCTTAGGATGGTTTGTTACAACGCACTTTGAAAAATTACGCACTTTGAAAAAAATTTTCAAAGTGCGTTAATTTTGGGACCACGTTAACGCACTTTGAAAAAAAAATATTTCTTTTCAAAGTGCGTGAATATCGACCATATTAACGCACTTTGAAAAAAAAATGTGCACGGTTTGGTCAATATTCTTGCAAATTTTACGTATGATATATAATTATTTGAGCCTGGTTGGATAACTTTTCGGTGATGACATCAGGATCTGGGATATAGACGTTTTAAATAATTTTTAGGAGTTGTCTTGTTTCCAAAGGTTCTCGTAACTGTTATAAAAGGGAAATAGGTCTTAGAAATAATGGAGGAATGATTGTTTAATAGCACAGTTTCGTTTCTTTTTTTCTTTTCTTTTCAAAATTTTATCAATCTCTTAAAAGTTCGGTAGATGTAGGTGTCGATAAGTGACTTAAAGCATCGCATTTTTCTTAGGGAAAAGGGAGCAATTATGATTTTTCCATACCATGAAAACTCTCTCTCTCTCTCTCTCTCTCTCTCTCTCTCTCTATCATATTCATCTATCTGTCTATTGTGAACATATATGAAACAATGGTTGACTCATTTATTTGATAATAAGAAAATAAACATTAGCCACATTACTCACTCGACTTAATTTTTTACCTCGTTCACTTTTTTTTCAAAAAGTTATGCAGTCAGATTACTTCTAAATCTGTAATTTGATATCATAAAAACGCTAGACATGTCAAATAGCATGTTTTAATTACCATGTAAATGCATTTTTTCTGAGGAATCATTGTGGACACATTTTGAATAAAGGTTATGCGGCTCTCTTCTTTAATATAATAGGGTGCGTAATTTTTTTTCCAGGAAAGCTTATCTCAGTTTTTTCATCTATTGTACGTTAACTCAAATTTGTTGAGAGAAATAATATCAATGTCATACCAGTTATGTAAATACATATATCTGTGTAGGAAAGATAGAGAGTTGGGCTGAGGGACTTTCTACCTGTCTTCTCCTCGTTCTCGATGAGGGTAGATCAATTTATCAGTTTATTGGAAGAAATATAACAAATTAATGCTGTCTATTAATATTATTAAAATCTAAGTCCAGAATTTTTGTTTTATACGTATTTTTTCAAAGTGCGTTAAGTGTCTCCATGGTAAAAAATGTTGGTGTACACTCTTAACGCACTTTGAAAAAAAATTTCAAAGTGCATTAATTTTGTCCAAAATTTTACGCACTTTGAAAAATCTTTTCAAAGTGCGTTGATTTTGTCCCAATTTTAACGCACTTTGAAAAAATTTTTCAAAGTGCGTAATTTTTTCAAAGTGCGTTGCCACAATGCTTCCATGTCAATTTGACTAAGCATACCATTGCTGTTCTTGAGTAAAAGAATTTCAAATCTTTTTTTATATACTTATATAAAACTTTGACCGCTTAATGTGGCCATATCTATCACCAGGGGTTATGATTGAACAAACTCGAATAAACACTTCCTGGGGATGCTTCTTTATTAATATGATTAATCATGCCTTTGCCATTCTTGAAAAAAAGATTTTTAAAGATTTTCCCCTATATATCCATAATACATTTATGTAGAACTTGGGTCGTTCACTATGGCCCTCCCCACCCCTAGGGTCATGAATTAAATCAACTTGAATATACATTTCCTGGGAATATCAATATGACTGACCTTGCTTTTGCTATTCTTGAGAAGAAGATTTTTAAAGATAGTTTTCTATGTATTCCTAAGTAAATCTCTGATCGCCCATTGTGACCTCACCCTACCACTGGGTGTCATGATTTGAACAATTTTGACTCTATACTATGCATTGAAATGTTCACATAATTCAACTCATCTGGCTCAGTGGTACCTGAGAAGTCTTTTTAATACAGCCATTATATTGTCGTTGTTTTATAATTATCTCCCCTTTCAAAAGGCCATGCCACATGAACCTTTGGTTGAGACCATCTAAAAAAAGTTTAATAGTTGCTTCTATGTATTTCTTATACATATTTTGCTTTTATTTCATACAGAAAAGTTCTCCAGTATGTATATATCTTCAAGATTAATACGGTTTTTTTCACGTAGCGATTTTGCTTTTGTTTTTGTTAGTGTGTGGAGATGCTATGTTACACAAGTTCCTAGAAAAAATGGACGTTGGTTATTTCAAGTTCTAGCTTTCATTCTTATTTTAAAAACTAATTTTCTCTTTTGACATGAATCAAATGTATACGTGTACGTCTGTACATTTATGAAAGTTTCATCCATCCTCAATTTAAAAACTAACTTTCTCTTTTGACATGCATCAGATGTATGCATGTACGTTTGTACATTTGTTAAAGTAATTACTTTAAAACTTTTTTTTCTTTTTTGACATGAATTAAATATATACATGTGCATCCCTTTCACTCTATACTTCTCACAAAAATATTAACAGCAGTGAAGTAGAAACTTCAGCAGTACTGATCCAGAATTGGTTTTAATGTGTCAGTAAAAACGTGCATACTAATAAAAAAAGATCTCTGTGAAATTTTATATGAAATTTTGTCAGAATTATTAATATCAAAACGTATGGCATTTCAACGCTTTTAATAACCATTCTCCAGGATTAATTATAGACCAGGCTTGTTAACGTTATAGACAACGGCTTCTTAAAAAAAATGGAACTCGGAAAATTTCGTATCCTGTGACTGGTCATCTAAATCACATAAGAACCTTGAGTTCCACATTAAGAATATTTGTAAAGTATCTAACAACAATCTGTTGGAATTTCCATGGGTACTATTTTTGCCCCTTTAATAGCAGAGCTGTATTTGTTATTCTTATGAGGCAGAATTTATAAAAACTTCATGAAAAGAAGTCTTTTGCTATGGTCTTAAATATGACATTTAGACATATTGACGGCATTTTATCAATTAACAATATTTATTTTCATGACGTTGATTGATATATCCCACTGATCTCGAAATAAAAGACGCCACAGTTTCTGACACGTCTGCTTCATATCTAGATGTTTTTCTCCAGAGAGACATTGATGAAAAACTAACACCTTAACTTATTATAAATGTGATGACTTTTCTATTGTCAACCTCCCTTATTTATGTAACAATGTACTTTTATCACCTGCATAAGGTGTTAATGTCTCCAGCTGATTCCATACTCTATACAAATAACTTTTAAGGTGATGACACAAGGGTATCAAAAATTTCGTTTAAAGTCATAATTTCGTAAATTGTATGGTCGATTTTGCTCTTCTTATGATATGTATTGTTGAAATGGACTTTTGAGCGTGATTACTGTCCCCTGACTACACATTTCATTTTAAATTATCTTCATCGTTTTAATAAAATATTTAAAGTAGTATGAAAGAAGATTTTTGTCACTGAATGATACTTACAAAAACAATATATAATAATTTTCATGATTACATTTACATGAAGAGAGAGCAAAATACATATATATAAAATAAAATATCTTTTTACATCAAATATTATATATGTATAATTTTAGAGGGAAAAAATGATTAAATAATTCAGACCGTTAGTTTTTAAAATAAGATCACTTTTATTGCGCACATTTCAAACATTCATGTGAGGCATAAATATTTAATTTAATTTATATTTAGAAAAAGTAATATTTGCTGCAATCTCAGACCTAGTCGCTACACTGCTGTTCTTAATTTATTAATTAATTAATATTCTTTACTACGTACATTTACTTTTACTTTCTGACTGATTGATACAACTGAGTATGCGCTCAACATTTAAATATGATAGTAGTGTGCCAATAAGTGTTTCTTTAAACACGTTGATGTGTTCTTGTTTTCTTTAAACAATAGTTTGAAGATATTGTTGACAGGTTGTTCACTTCATACATGTAACCTCGCTAACTTTTAACTTTGCATGAGTATTGTCATCAGAACAATATATTTTCTATAATTTCAGTCTTTTTTTTACTTGACAAATTATTGACTAATGACTATGTCTGAATACTCCTGTTACAGGACTTTGACGTGGAGGTCAGTTGCCGAGTGGCGGATGTCAAACGTCAGGTTATGGACAAATTCGATCTGGACGCTCCAGAGGAGTATGGACTCTGCTTCGGCCTCAAAGACCGAGGTTCTTCACTTTTTAAACCTAGTGTGTGCTCACATTTTCTTCTTTTCTTTCGTAGTTTTTCAACAAAAGTCTAGTTTTTATTTACCCATTGCCCTTGCAATGAGACATATTTAACTTCGCTATTTGATGTCCCTTTGATATGCATTCCATCGAGTGCAGTTAACAAAAACATTGCTTTTGCAACGCGAAAATAAAACTAGACTTTTTAGTACACAAGTTTTGCCAATTGGTGTAATGATATTAAAGATACGTGTATTCTTTTGATGTGGTGTTTAATGTAGTGCACGTGAATTTACTTTAGCTTAGCAAACGAATATTAATTGAATACATGCAATTAAATTGGTTTTGTTTTTCTTTAATGAACTTTAAATTGCAAACTTATTTTGTTGACAGACCAAAGCACTGGTTCGTCGTTGAAACCCAAACCTTTTTGTATGTAGTGTAGCGGTTCATAATTTATTTTGCATGATCACCTTACAGTATCCATCCATTCTGCACTTTAATAACAATGGGAAAAATTTACTGTGCACAATTGCTTATGGTAATAGATCGTTAAATTCACATGATGTTCGACTGAGGAGCTTTTAAATTTTTTCAAGTTTCACATATAAAATAAGAGGTATAGATTCGGTAAATTAAGCATATAAAATTATAGTGAAGGTTTGTTAAATGGATACTTACCAATTTTGTTTATTAAGTTTATTTTAATCATCAAAACAAAGAAGAAAATTCTTCATATGTTTAAATGTCACGATTCTGCTAGTTCTGGGTCGCTATGCTGCTTGCTAATTTTACCGTTGACAATCATAAGTGAGCTTGGTTTGTGCACGTCCATATACAGTGGTTATGTGTTATTTACCCCCACTCCCCCATTTTTTTTTTAAAGTCAATGTTTATTTCTAGATTTTTTCCCTAGATTAGTCTTTATACGTTTTCCAAATAGAGATATAGCATTCGTAATCATTAAAATTAGATTAATGTAACTGAAATAATTTTTTTCAATGTTTCCTTAAGTCACCGCTAAAGGCAAATCTTTGCTTGTAGAAACTGTTTTACAGTGGCCAAAGTTGGTATAGTTCCTAATTGTTGTAGCCTAGTTACACCCCAGCAAACCATATAGTTATGAAGTTGATAAATAACTGTTTGACTTAACAGTTTCCCAATAAAAATTTAGTCAATGGACAAAATAACAGATTAACTAATATGCTTTTGCAATAGCTTATATTTGTTGTAGCCTAGTTACACCCCTGCAAACCATATAGTTATGAAGTTGATAAATAACTGTTTGACTTAACAGTTTCCCAATAAAAATTTAGTCAATGGACAAAATAACAGATTAACTAATATGCTTTTGCAATAGCTTATATTTATGAAGTGCAAGCTAGCATAACTATGGTTTGCAAGTTGCTACTCTCAGGCTACAGCAATTAGAAACATTAACAAATTTTGGCCACTATTAAAACTGTTTCTACAAACAAAAGTTTTCCTTTAGCAGAACCGAACCTTAATTTTTAAGAACCCTAATCTAAACTTTTAAGGAAGTGTTTACTTCAGTTTTATTACAAAGTATTATCCACGATTAATAATATTTTAAAACTTCTCAATTATAATTTTCAGTGATAAGTGCTCCGGATGGGGAGTACTTTTTGGACTCTTTGACGAACGTCGAGATCTTCTGGGCAAAACAAATGAGATCACAGCGATCAAGTGGTGAGTATTATCCTCAGTTCCCTCCCTTCGTGGTGAGTATCCTCCTTAGTTCCCCTCTTACATCGTCCAACTAATTTATGTAAAAAGAGACAGAAAGATTGAGGATGGTATATGAAGTGTTTATTTCTGGTTAATGACATTAAAAGGACTTTTTCTATTCTGTATTTTGCAGTGACGGAAACCACTACAGGGTCTCCTAATTTCACTGCCCCTACTGCTGTTCACGTATTCTTTTTGAAGAAACTCTGGGTGAACGCTGTACCCGGTAAAAATAGGAATGCGGACTCAATGTTTCATTTCCCACAGGTATGTTTGCAGCGATTAATAAAACTTAAAAATCATTATAGACCTTTCAAAGTAATATTCCATAAGAAATATCTATGTGTATTCTCTGGAAGGTAAACACAATGGAAACGTCTTATATTGTCCATTTCAGGAGGTTCCAAATTATCTGCGTGGTTACCATAATTGCTCTGACAAGGATGCTGGACGTCTAGCAGCCTTTATTTACAGAGCTCAGTTTGGAGACGATGTAACTGCTTTATCTGATTTTGAGTGAGTAATCCCATTATACACTGTGACACCCTTTCAATAAAAATACCAGAACAAATCATTTCTAATTATTCACACTAAAGGCGTTATAGTGCCCATCCATATGTACATGACTTGCGTTTAATTCAGAGCGAATATGAAGGCGTTAATACCTCACCCACTTCTAGAAAAGAAAACCCCGAACGAGTGGAAACAGGTATGTTTGAACGTTATTTAAAATGTTTAAAATGCTTAGATAAAATAACCAACTGTTTTGAACCTGAAAATGTATGAATTGAAGCTAGCACTCAATTAGAGAAGTTCTAAATATTTTTCACGTGTGTTCTAACAGATTGTGAAAGAGGAAATTAGCAAAACTAAAGGAGCAAACTCAAACGATGCCAAGCTAGCTTTCCTCAACATCATACACCAGTGGCCAACTTACGGTTCAGTGTTCTTCACCGTCAAGGTATGTGACATCTTTATCACCGATTTCAGAAAAAAAAATGTCGGTTTCTTTTTGAATAAGAACTAGTCTTCCTATGTGACATTTTTCATATACCTATGTTTTTTTTTTAACTTTTGAGACTTCCTGTTTTCAGCAAAGATCCATGAAGGCATATCCCAAGAACGTTTTGTTTGCAGTCAATGTTAATGGGGTTATGTTTCTGGATGTTACTTCGAAGGTGAATATAATTTTATAACGGAATGAAACTTGAAAGACTAAATTATTATACCCCCAGCTTTAAAAGTGGGGTGCACATAATCATGAGTTTATGTACATGTATGTACGTCGTTAACACTTGGGGTATACCCATCTCTTTTTTCGCAACTCCTCCTATACCACTGAATAAAATTTAAAAAGACACTTTCACAGAATCTACTTGACGTAGTGCCGTTGTGCACCCCCTTTAGTTTCAATCAAACAGGTATTTGGGTTTCTCATAGCAAAACCTGGACACTGTCATTCCTTCTATAACATTGAGGGAAGGGGTTGGTGGGTGGTGGGTTGTTGTTGTTACTCATCTCTTCCGATACCACTGAATAAAATTTATTACGTAGTGCCATTGTGCACCTCCAATTTTTCTTTCCATTCGAATGGATTTGGGGTTTTCCATGGCAACACCTGAAAAATGCCATACTTTCTATAATATTGGGGTTCCCATCTCTTATCCACAACTCCTCCAATCACTGAAAAATTTTAATGAGACTTTTACAGATTTTTTATTATATAGTGCCATTTTACATGATTGTATCTTTTGATTGGACAGATATTTGGGTTTTCCCATAGCAGAACATGGACTCTGCCATTCTTTTTAGAACATTGGGGTACTCATCTCTTGTCCGCAATTCCTCCTATACCACTGAATAAATTTAAAGAGACTTTCACAGAATCCAAATACATAGAGCCATTGCGCATCTCCTTTTTAATGTTCTGATCGGACAGATATTTGGGGTTTCCCATGGCAAAAAAAGTGGTGATTTTGCCATTATATCCAGGTACTCATAATTATGAGAGCGGATATGGTATAGTTTTGTGCGTTCATTGCTCACAATACCTCAAGTTTTGTTTTACACAGTACAACAATTTTAATTGAGTTGACATAAAATAATACATGTAATATGAAGAGTTACTTATTTCCTGTTTTATTTTAGAATATTCTTGCCAAATACGAGTACAGCGAGATACCAAATTGGGCCTTTGACGAACAATCCTTTACACTGATAGTAGGAGAGGGTCAAAGTTCAAACAAGATTTACATGGAAACCAATCTAGTAAGTTCTAAATATAAAAGTATTGAATGTTTTGAAGGATAATTCTGTTGATGTAGTAAGTTTCTAATTAATGCTCCTGTTTATATCTTACTGGTGGTTAATGATTTTATACTCGCATCGATACTGTTCGATTCTGGATCTTTATTTTAACATGCTATATGGACTACATAACTAATGGATCCATTTATTTTATATCTAGGGACATAATATGGATGATATAATTATGTCGTATGTAGCCTGGATGATGAATACACATATACAGAAGCGGCCATCTTATGCTGGTGTAACTGTTGGAGAATCTCTTTGTTAGATATTAATTCCAGAACTATTGATTACCAACTATGTTATAATTAGAACCAATATGAACAAATATTAACAAAGCAAAGGTTGGATACCAGTGTTATTTTTATACAGGCTTGACAATATATTTCTGTGACCTTTGATTGAGAGGGAAAACTCTACACTGTAGGTCTGATAAATTAGGAATTCTTCATAAACTTTTCACTGTCAGTGATGGTTTGTTACAAATATTTCAACTTATGGTATTCTAAATTTACTTGAATTTAATGCGTTTCCGTCTTTTGTTAGGAAATGTCCTTATAATAGGGGGGAAATCATTTTTAATGAAAGAGGGTCGTTTTGACTTTTAAAGTACGAGGGGTGATCAAAAAGTTCGCGAACTATCTCTATATTTAAAAAACCACAATTCAGATCAGAATGAAATTTGGCAAACGTATAGTCATACACATGTTCTATAAATAGCATATGTTAAATAATGTTTTGCTCCGTGTTTGTGACGTCACAATGTGAAAATGACGTCAGTATGTAGGTCACTTGTGACAAAAAATGGTTGACTCAGTCGTACTCGAGCAACGGTTGTAAAGTTTAACGTATATCTCGAAAAAGCCTTTGCAGTAGAATATGATAATTTGTACAAGGTTTGTGAAGACAAAAGACTTACCAGAAGTTCAATCATTAATTGGATTGAATGTTCTAATGAAGGCAGGGAGATGGTTAAAATTGATGTTTGTTTTTGTTGCCCAGCGAAAGCAAGCCGGTAAAAAGATGTGTCCTTAGTTGAGCAATTTGTTTTGAAAGATCGCCAAGTTACAGTAAGAAAAATAGCTGAATATCTAGGCAATAATATAATTATTAAATCCCTAAAATATCGTTCACTTTAGGATTTAAACATATGAAATATGAAAAAAAGAAGGCTCCCATACTTTTTCCACATTGGATAAACGACGCTCCCGAGACAGATGACGGGTTGTGATGGTCATCATGCTAATTTTGGGAAGGGATATCCTTATCCACCCATCCTATTGCCGAGATTAGGCCATTTCTGACAGATGGTCTGTTCTTGTTATAAAAAATTACTTGCATGGTAAGAAATATAAGACTTGGAAAAATCTCTTAGCTTCTGTGAACAGACCGCTACGAAGCATACCACGTGACCGCCTGGATCAAGTGATTCGCGCATTGGCAGAGCAATGACAGATGTGCATTAAAATCGGAGAGGACTACTTTAAAAAATAATGAACACTGAAACCTCATATTATTTCTTTTAACGAAGTAATTCAATTAGTTCGCAAACTTTTTGATCACCCCACGTACATTTCTCCGTCATGAAACATTTCTGTAGAATATTTACAAGAAGGTGAGGAATTTCTCTGTGCCAAAGTCAATAAAGGTGCAAATATTGACGTCTCATAAGAAAGCAAAGAGCAGAAATATCCGGTATTGAACCTAAAATCAAAACCATTGTATGTTATTCTTTTGTATTGTGGTGTTCAAATAAGTTTAGTATTTTAATTAAGTCGTATAATCTTTTGTATATTTAAGATGTTTGTTAAAGTGTAACTGGCTGCATTTAAACGCATTTATTGATATCCAACTTTTGGAATCTAATAAATAAGTTAACAACTATTTTGCTTCGTGATACTTCGTCTAAATCTACTTTTTGCAATGTATCATTTCATGGATTTCATTGTCAATTATATGTAAAACACAAAACGACAGGAAGACTCCATGAGCTGACGAGATTAAAATATTTCAAAATATAAGCTCTGAGTTGTTTCGAAAAAGTTAAAGTTTACTTACTCAAAATTATCATTGAATGCAATCGTTTCCTTCAGTTCTGTAGATGTTAAGCCTATATATATATATATATATATATATATATATATATATATATATATATATATATATATATATATATATATATATATATATATATATATATAAGTACTTGTGTCTTTTGCGTCTATCTTCTGTTGTTTGGAATGTTAATGATGCCGCAACAGGGATAATTACCGTATTCAATATTAAAGTACAAACTATCAAAATTTAGAGTATTAGATTTAATCGTAAACTTCCCTGTCACATTTAATTTTCCTGTTGTCTCTTTATAATAACACTTGTGATCATTTATCAACTGTTTCAATGGCTCTGTCACTGCAAAATATAGAGAATGAAAAATGGTTGTTGAAGGTACAAGGTACACTCGGATTGATCAATTTCAGCAGAAATGGACCTCAGATTGTGCTACATCAAGTAAAGGCAAAAATTATAAGTATTATTACATCTTGAAAACACTTTGATGCCAATGAATCAATGACTGTAATATAATTACATTAGTAAGATTTAGAACTAGTAATAATAAATTACCAATCGAGATAGGCCGATGGAGCAATACACCTTTAAATCAAAGACTATTTTATGTGAAAAAGATACTTGGGGCGAATATACCATTTTATTATGTCATGTCAAGCTTTAAACAAATGTAGAAAATTGTATCTACCATCAACATATATATAAGACGACCGAATGTTATAAGATTAAAATTTATTTCATGTAAAAAGGTATTATATAAATATCCTCGTGTAAATCAATATCATCACCTCTGTAGTTCGTGCCTCCTTACAACACAGAAACGTTACATTGTTTTGGTATAACTTGGTGCATCTAACATGTATAAAAATCGAATTTCTAAAAAAAGGGAGTGGTGAGGAATGTGTTTGGGAGGATACCCTAGCTCCTCTGTGTCAGATTTTCTTTTAGAAATGCACCCATGTTGGATGGTTCTAATCCATTCTCTCTTATGTATTTATTTTTTTACGTATTAAATAAACGAAATCTAACAGCATTCTTTGAACAGACAAAGACTGGGAAAAAAAAATGAGTTTTTTGAAAGCTGGTGCGATCACTCCCAACGCAACCCGGCCTTGATCGTAATCTCACTCGTATAGATTCCCCTCTCTAAAATAATATATGGCAAGTATATTGACCGGTTTCTTGTCTTTCAATCATTTAGAAGCTATACATGTATTTTGCTTGAAAATACAGAGAAATGAGCATAGTAATAATTGGTAACAAAAATATGTATTTGTATAAAACCGTAGATCCCATTTTTCTTTACTGTAAAAAAGTACAAACTAATCAAAGTGATTGCACAGAACAGCATATATACACGGAATTGACGGGGAAACTGCATATTTCTTAAAGAGAATTTATACTCCTTTTATGTTGATGAGTACTGGTAGTGGGGGTGCAGGTACATATGTTTCATTCCTGTTCTTCAGTAAAAACTTCATATGACATTGCATGAGCAAAATAATTTAAAACAAATTTTAAAAAAAAGATTTCTTTATCTAAATGACACCTCGTTAAATTCCTCTTTTAAAATAAATCATTCCACCCCTGATTGAGTAAAGTGTAAGAAAATCAAGTATTTTAATTTTTTGAGCACAAGACGTTCTTTGAAGTCATTGGAATTATAACAAATAATTCAGTTCGTCTTCACAAATAGAAGAAAACCGACGTGATTTGGCCTTCAACTCGACATTCGTATACATGTATATCGACGACGTATTACCAATTAACATTTATAGTTACATTCATTCATATGTCGACTCAATATATCCCAGTGAACTCGATATAAAAGACACCACAGAATCTGTCACATCTGTTTCATATTTGGATTGATTGACTGTATGCTGTTTTACGTCGTATTGGAGATTTTTTCACTCATATAGAGACGTCACCATATACCGATGAAGGACTTCAAATCTAGACCTATACTCGGCACCATTGAGAAATGAGAATTCTTTATGCTGCCAACGCCTACCGTGACACGGGACCTCGATTTTAAAGGTCTCATCCGAGAGACCCGTGAATTTCACTTCTAACTCCGGTTGCTTGACGAAGGAACGTTTACGTCTTAGGTTTGACGCGGCACGGTGAACGAGAATCGAACCCAGGCCTCCCGATCACGAAGCGAACGCCCTACCACTAGATTTCCTGGATCGGTTTCATATGTGCAATTGGATGCTTTACTGACTATGGACGATAAGGGCCAACAAACAACTAAACTGTATGACAAAGTAGATGATTTCAGCTTTTCCACCGTCAACTTTCCCTATTTATATAGTGTAGCTCAGTCGGTAGAGCGCTCGCTTCGTGATCGGAAGGTCGTGTGTATGAATCACGGCCGCGACTGACCTAAGTCGATAAAAAATAGGTAGCAACTGTTTCTTCGCCAAGCGCTCGGCACTTTGAAGTGAAAGTTGCGGGTCCTTCGGATGAAACCTTAAAAACCGAGGCCCCGTGTCACGGTAGGCGTTGACACGATAAAGAACCCTCACTGCTCAATGGCCCTGCATGTCGAGTAAAGGTCTAAATTTGAAGCCCTTCACCGGTATATGGTGACGTCTCTATATGAGTAAAAAATTCTCGAACAGGACGTAAAACAATATACAATCAATCATTTTTATACAGTAGTATTCAGCTTTCACGTGCATATGGTGTTTATGTCTCTTAAAGCTGAACACAATTCGTAAAAGGCAGAGATCTATGTTTGTCCGCCATTTCACAAATTGCATTTTTCGGAAACCTGCATGGCCCCTATATAAGCCGTTCACTTAATTGGTCACTGTTCAATGTTTTCAGTTTTCACCGGTGTGAACGGACGTATTCTACATACATTGTAATAATTATAAAATTCTCGGTTTGTGTGCTAATTCTTTCACGGCAAAAGAGAAAGTTACCAAAGAAACCAGGCACAAATAACGTAAACTTACATCAGTTGCACAGGTCAGTGCAGAATAAACAAACATTAATGCACGTAAACTACAATAAAATATAAACAAACATAATGTAAGATAACCAACACGAACACGTGTCGTCCATTCCAAGCTAGTACCTATGACAAGAAAGCTGTCAGGTGTAACGAATGTGAAGGGTGCTGATATCGGAGATGGGAAAACTAATATGGCGTATGCCTATTTACGA